ACCTGCAGCGGTAAGGGTCTGCGTAACTGTTATACTTTAGGACTATTCTAGTGGACACACATTGCACCGCTGTTGGGCAACTGTAAACGTAACTGTTAGCTAACCTCTGTCACGTTTGCGTAACTGATTCGAGGATAGGTATTCACTCCTATGCTCGGTTTAAACCTTGAAAAAAAAAAAACAATCCCAGCTCCACCCAGAAGAATCGTCGTGCCTCCCACAGAGAACTTGCATAAATTATCCATGCAGTAGCGCTTATTCCCTTTCACGACGACGTCAAGCAATCCTCGAGTGTCTTCAGGCAGTTGATCCTTCCATACGGACACACGCTTTTTTGTCGTTGGTTTTATGTCGAAAACGCGAAACTCTCGGTTAACTTTCGTCAGAGATTCTGATCACAGCTGCTTCTGCCAAATTTAATCGTCTCAGGCAGTAATGACGAAGCAGCGTTTTTACATTAAAATATCTGGGAGTATTACGTCCCAAAACCACGATATCGTTAGGGAGAGACACCGTAGTGGAGGCGCTCTGGAAATTTCAAACATCTTTTTGTGGTTTAACGTGTACTGCCACTGCACAGGTCACTACATTTCGTCTCCTCCGCCACGGCTGGCGACGTCCGATGAGTAGTAGCAATCGGATTAGACGAGAAGAAATAACTTGCGGTTCGAGCGAAGAACAGCCAAATACCAATGTGCTGCACAGTCGAAGGGCACGCGTGCCACGATTCGGTGGGCGAAGTTTACTTTTTTTTCTGCGGTTGTAAATCTTACAAATGGCAAGACGTCGCGCGTTCGTTCAGCTTTTGGTGTTCTTACATCACGAAATAACGCCCCCCCCCCCCCACCTTCCCCCCCCTTATGCACGGCACTGTGCCGCTTCTTAAGGGAACAGATTTTATTTATTTAAAAATACCTTACAGGCTCTATTACGGAGCATAGAGTAAGGGGGGTACATAGGAAAGAATGCTAGTGGGTGATACTTCTGCCACAATACAAAGCAACTACAAAGCAAAGCAACTACAGAGCAACTAATAACTAATAAAAATACAAAGCAAGTAATAACATTGGAACTAATAACAGTGGTTGCACAAATGACAAAGAGGGGCTTCAAGCAACAAGATATGCACCGCTCTTGCGAGAAAAACACCAAGGCGCGACAAGCGGCGTCGAGGAACAACAAATAAGTAAACAAAAAGAAACGGGAGCGAAATGAAGCGGGACGTCGAACAACCTGCTGGTAGACGACGGCGGCTTAGTCAAACACCGAGATCAACGAACCCACGCAGGTACTACGTCACACGGTACAGAGCTAGTAGAAGAGGCGCGTACTTCCAACGCCTAGGCCGGCTGGCTTGCAGTGTTTCGTTTGCACTCGCCGCAGCCTTCCCCACACACAACCAACGACACCGAAATGCAAGGCGAGCCGCAGAGCGGCCCACGCAAAGCAAACGCCGACACGAGCCCCCGTCAAGCGTTGTTATGCCTGACGGCAACAGATCTTTTGATGACGCCTCACCACGGGTCAAAGCCGTAATAGACCATTGTTCGGCGGGGCAGCGGCGTAGCGATGGGAAACGTCGACTAAATGTACTACGCTGCACATAATTTTATATTTATTTATTTACACGAGCCGCAGCCTCCTCTGGTATGTACGGCCACGGTCGCTGTATAGAAACACACACCAGCGGCCGTTGTATATGGCTGGTAACACGATAAACGCTAATACATGTAATCGTTCTTCGGCTTTATACGTCCCAGAACTACGATATGATCGTGACAGATGCCGCAGGGGACCGATTCGGATATTTCAACCACCTGCTGGGGGTTAGTAAGGTGCGTTTCGCCGCGGCCGGGTTTCCATGCCGCGAATATTGCAGGCTCAATTAGTATAAGCATTTAGGTAAACATTAAGATAAGCAGTATAATTGGGGGAGTTGCGGCACAAATATTATATTAAGTTCTGACAAGTGGTCTAGTGTATTTAGGACAGCAATCTTCAGGGAGACACATTAAAAACTAATATCTCAAGGCCGTGCTGAGACGAAAACACCAGTTGCTACAATGTCATCGACCGTAGTGAAACAATTAGCTCGATATAGCAGGAAGAGCTTCAAAAGCACGACTCGGCGTGTAATACATTTGTGTGAATATCGTACATAATACTTCATAACCGAGATCGCTACCAGGCAATCTAGTAGACCATGCACAAACAAGCCCAACTATCAATATCGTTAGAGTGTACCCTTCTAGTACACTGTAGTATCGTTCACACGTTCAGCCGGAATCCCACTGCCTAGAGCGTGGCAGCCAGCTGTTAAGTCACGTTGGCTACAAGCTTCCGTTCGTGTCTGAATTGTAGCACAAGGACCTAGCATGCCGTATGGGTATATTAAATATCATTACGGCGTCGGTTTTTCGCATATTTATGCAGAAAAAAAATGGTGGCCGGCTGGGCGCTCTAGACAAGTGTGATTCCATATGTACAACCGGTTTCTTCCCGTTGGGGCAACAGTCGTCAAACGCGAAGCAACATCGAGTCGGGACCTGTGGCGACGTTTTCACTCGGGCGTGCTGACGATCGCAACGGCGCGATTGATAACGAGCCACGTCCGAACGTCCTTCAGAGGCAACGGAGAGCCACAGAGCAATTACTCTGTTCTTTTGCAACGCGCGATATATTTCTTTTCAAGTGCACGACTGTCATCCGGAACGACCGAGATAAGCGCGCGACGGCTGCAAATCACCGCCCGGCCCGAGCAACAACGTCGACTACCTATCGCCTTGTCGATGCTGCCGGACCGGAGAAAAAGAGCACTGCCGACATGGCGCGTCGACAGCATTCGCGAAAAAGAAAGCTGCAACGTCGGCGCAACTTCCCGCACGAAAGGGCTAGAAAAAGACCAAAAAACGACTAAATATCGCGCACGTCATACGAGCAGCTGCTGCAAGCAGCGACGTCTGAAAAGCTACGGCGTGCCAACAGCGGCCTTGCGGTGTGTTCGTCACATAACGGCTGGACAGCGAGCGGGAACACCGGGGTTGTTTCGGAGAGGAACAAAAATGTAAACGAAGCAAAAGGGGTTGCTACGCGACAGCCCAGCTAGCGGTGGCAGCTCGGCTCGCGACACGAGGATGTAGCCGAGTTGAAGCTACGAAACGTCGAGAGCGGAGCAATTTCGCGATCCGGTTTTTGTTAGCCGCCGTCTTTTAACGGCAGCGATTGGGGCGTTATGAAAATGCGAACGGCCGCTAAAATGCCCGCAACACAACTGCCCATGAGCTTGCACAAGTCCCGACGAATAGGGCAGGGTAGGGGGCTTGCTTCCACCTACAAAAGAGCGCGCGACTAACTTTACAAGCACAAGAAGCGACCCGCACAACGATCTTAATGTGAACTGAGCCCAGAACGAGGAGAGTTTCGTGCTCAGGCCTGAAAGCTCCGCTCACCTCAAGGCTCCCCGAACCGGGCTCTCTCTGCCGTCGTTGCACCCGCACTTCACAAGCGTGTCGTCGAAACTCCGTGGCGTTGCACCGCCGGCGACACGGTGGTGTAGTAATCCAGTCGAAGCGTCCAGTCGCTCATAATCCTTTCGCACGCGGTCGCGGTCTAGTCGGCGGTACGTCCGCGACGGCAGAAGAGCTGCCACGGCCTGTAGCCCTGTGCATCAAGCCTATCGCTTATGTCGTACCGCTGCACAACCACGCGCACAACACCAAAACACCGAGCAACCAGGCAGCAAGCACCAAGCAGGCTTCTCCCCCCGAATACTCGATGCTCGCAAAAACCGCGTCAGCGCCAGCGAGCGCACAGCATGCACCGCTCCAGAGTGCTTCAAAAGCAGATTAGTCAAAAAACTTTTAACAAATTCTGGATATAAAAATTTAAACCTTCCAATGACTAAAATTGTTAACTTGCCGATTGTCGCGCCCTCTGTTGACTAAAAATTAAAATGTTTTTTGTTAAACAACACAAACACGCGAGCGTGCAACGACATTTTTTAGTGTTTATTTTGGGTTGTAGGTGACGCAACAACTTTCAAGCTGTTTTCAAAATTAGACACAAGTTTGTTTAGGTTTTGAGAAGAAGTTTTTTAACTAATACTATTAAGGAACTCTGGCACACCACAACCATTTTCTCACTCTGACGTCAGTTGACAACTAACCGGTACTAGTGTCGCCATCTGTGTAGTGTTACCGAAGGCTCATCAACCGCAACAAGTTTCATTACTTTTCAACGGGCACAGCTTCACTAATTCCGGTACATGATGCGGCACAATGAGTAAATTGGCTGCACTGTGGCGAACGCCGTTGCAGTTACTGTGGCAAACGCAAATAGTCTTGATTTCAGAGTACGTAGCTGCAATAGTTGGTACTTACATATGCCATACCACCACTAAACGAACATTGCAGGAACAAGTATCTCAAGTTAATCACGAACTGAAGTAAATGACATGAATCCAACGCTAGTGTCACCTCTGTGTCTCTGTTTCTTCTTTACAAGTTTCCAATACGTCACTCAGCAGGTGTGTTTTCTTTGTTTAGTATTATGACCTGAAGTACTACGCGTCAAAACCGAGATATAATTATAAACCACGGTGTAACGAAAAACTACATAACGTATGAACATGCACCTGTGAGTTTTTGACGTGCCCTGGCATATATTTGTACAAATAACAAGTTGTTCTGTATGGCACGACAACAGCTTGCGTCATAAATCATAATTCTCACAATCCTCCTATGCGTAAGGGCTCGTCAATATCGCTATCTACAACTCAACAGCACTTTTTATTATTATTTTTTTTTTTTTTTGGAATGACCAACTGTGTCAACAACACGGTCTACCTGTGGGTCTACTTCCTAGAAGTTGCGGCTTCTCCTCGCAACACCAATTCGTGTTAGTGACGTCACGCGCTGGTCTGCATTGTGTCGCCACCTGCCGTCAGGTAAGCATACTACAGGCACATTCTGGTGATCTGTGATTTGCATCTGCATCTTCAGCAGCCGTTTTCCGTGCTGCCTTCGCCCGGTTCGTTGGTTCGGCACCTATGTGTTGCAAGTTCCTCCGACGTGATTGCAGTATTTCAAGGTATTTCATCGCACACCTGCGTTCACTCTCTTGGACGATGGCCCGTTACTAGTCAAATTGCTGGAGGCCTCCAATGTAAACACGAAAAGCGCCGATCGTCACCGATCTGACATAGTGAACTCATTCCGGTTCTGAGCAGCCCAGCGCGGTTACAGAGAAAAAAAAACTGCGTTTGTTTATTTAAACGTCGAAGGTTAATGTTTATCGGGAGCGGCGACGCAGTGCGAAACTTCAACAAAGCGTAGAGTAGCCGTGGCACTCTGCGATCGTTTGTATTGTGAATCGCATACGAAAACTCTGTCAAGCCATTGGCCAAGTTGCTTTCGCATAAGCGCCGCCAATCACTTGCTTTGAAAGCGCTCACGCACGAACTTGAAAAGCCAGCAGTAACTGTTAAAAGTTTGCCAACAGTTTCGTGCGCGTTCGCAAAGTAGTGGCGACGTTTCGAATCAGCACAGCCACGTCCGCTGGATACAGAAGTGCCCGTAAGATGCCCCTGTTAGATGTTTTGTAGCCGCACGTTCGAATGCGCGAACGAAAGCAGTTTTTCTTCATTCTCAGTGAAGCGTGGAGAAAGAACTTCGCACGGTTCACACCATGTGCCGTTCCTTTCTGCATGTGCGTTTTCGCGATCTCTTTTTTGATTGATTGATTGATATGTGGGGTTTAACGTCCCAAAACCACCATTTGATTACGAGAGACGCCGTAGTCGAGGGCTCCGGAGATTTAGACCACCTGGGGTTCTTTAACGTGCACCCAAATCTGAGCACACGGGCCTACAACATTTCCGCCTCCATCGGAAATGCAGCCGCCGCAGCCGGGATTCGATCCCGCGACCTGCGGGTCAGCAGCCGAGTACCTTAGCCACTAGACCACCGCGGCGGGGCGATCAGTTTTTTTTTTTTTATGTACGAATATGTAATGGATGCGTTATCAATGAAAGCAATCATTATAGGGGGCGTTTTCTATGTTTACTTGGTAATGTTTCTATCTGAAAACAAAAAATCCCGCGGCCACGATTGCCAATATTGATATTAAATAAAGTAATATCGTAAAAATTCCGGTTCCGCTATAGCTATGTTTCTGAGTTGACGAGAACTAAAATACCACTGTAGCTGTTAGTATGATTGAAAAACTAGCTGTTAAATGTTTGAAGCAGGGAGCTTAATGATCAGAAAACAATTACTCAATAATTTATTTATTTCGGACATACCAGCACAGATTTTAGCAGAAAAGGCATATATATGTGTAACTTGTTACAAAGAATTTGGAGTAATTGCAGTAGGATTTGGTTGCAAATGCGGTTCTGCCCAGTAAGAGTTGCAACATGTGCGGGTCATAGGTAGGCAAAATATTTAGAGCTCACTCACGAAACATACCTCTCCCGTAGGGCTCACTCGTACTCGTGCTCATTAAACTTCTCTACATCAGACTCATTAGTGGGTCGACTCATGAGTCCGTTAGCATAATATTAGTCATTTCGTCCAAGGTGTCAGTACTTCTTAACACCGATATCCCGCATAATCGGTGCTCTACGTGGTACTTCATATCTTGTATCTTTAAATACAACGTATCAGTGGCTGCAATCCAGTGTGGACTTTTTTATTGAAATCTACGACTCACACAAGATGTTATTAACGAGGCCTTCCTCGGAGAGAGAACAGAGGGGGAGGCCATTTTGGTAGGAAGCGCTCAACTTTTACACAGGAACACGAGACACAAGTGCTTGTGTCTCGTGTTCCTGTGTTAAAGTCGTCCACTTCTTACCAAGATGTATTCATACCAACTGGCCCTATACAATTGTTCATTAAGAGGAGGAAGGTCAAGCCACCTCCCCGTCTCCGTAACTAGCGTGTGTCTTCAATTAATATTGAGCTGACATATGAATGCTATGCGTTGATGTGGGAGTAGACATAAGTATAGCAAAAGTTCATTCATTTGGAAGCAGTTAATTCGTACTTACAGTAAATTCGAACTGACACCTTGATCCCGGCACAACGCTCTGTTTTTCTGTGGGGCCTGATGATTCGAACATGTCGCCATCCACAACGGCTAATTCGAACTGGAAGCCCCCCCCCCATTTTCGTCGCTCCAAGCAGTCAGCCCATAGTGATCACATTATGTTGCAAAACCAAACCAAACTAAGTTAAATAGAGATGCCAAAATGGCAGCATTTCTCAGCAGATAAGGTTTCGAATGCTGTGTTGAAAGCTTAGACTCGCCCATGAAATATACCTAGTCTTTATGGCTCACTCAGACTCTCCAAACTTTCCCTGTACCGGACTCACTCCAAGTCAGACTCCTTAAAATAATTCTCAAATAGAAGTTGCTAGGACATAAGGTCACCAAAATATTACTCAACCGAAACTCACTCAGACTCGCGACTCGATACGAGTTAAGTGTGTGGACTAATGAGGGAGTTTACCGACCTGTGATCCAGGCTGAAGATCGCGCCAACAATACAAAGCCGCGTCAATATAGCAAAAACTTGTCAAGTAAACCTGTTTCAGTTACTGGTATTCATTAAACCAATTTGATGTTTGCCAGTGCCACTGTCCAGTCACAAGTGACCTTGATTGCACTTTGCAGTTAGGAAGTTACAACTTTTGCTCACGAGTGAAAAGCACCAGCTAAGAGAAGAGAGTGGACTGTATTGTGCAGATTATTAATTAGTAAAATGCACGTTTTGTCTATTGTATCTTAACTACGCAGGTGCAAGAACATTCAACACCAAAGCCCGCGACAGCGTCATCTTTAAGGGGCGGAAGGGAATGGATGCATTGAGAGACTTGCCACCACTCCCCAAAAGCCTGAGTGGGCTCATCAACTTCAACAGCACCCAGTGGCGTGAAGTAGAGCGTGTCCACCTCATGCGCACCATGATTCAGCAGGATCTGAGTAGGGCGGCCCCCGTCGTGCCGGCGCGTAGTAGCAGCGCCAGCCGAGCCTCGGCGTCTCGACAAAGATCGCCGCAGGCTGAGTCGTTGCACGGGTCGCTCGGCAACAGCCGTGTCGCTGGTGGCTCTGGCAAGGATGCGCACAACACGTGGTCGGGCCGTTCTTCAAGACTCGACGCGCAGCTCGCAGTTCTTCGAAAAGAGATGGTGAGAGTGGGTACTTCCGTATATTTTGTAGAGGTACTGACACAAAATTTTGTAGCTGAGATAGCCTGCGGAATCGATATTCGTGAACATGCATATATCATCTACCAAATCTCAAAGGCAAATACAGCTTGGAAGGTAACTTATACGAATTTAAAAGTTTGCATGCCTAGTCTGGCACTAGTATACGCCTCACCTCGCGACACTAACATCATGAAAAGCAACCTGAAAGGGATGCCTAAACTTTCAGTGATGTCTCCACTGCGGTTGAACTTAGAGATGTCCTACTAAATTATGACATCATAGTCACCATTGCACTTTTGCCATGGTTGTGCCAGGAGGCTACTATTCGGCAGCTGCTCGCAAGTCCATGCCTTGTAGCAAATGTACACAAGCCTCAAGAAGGTCTTTGTGACCAGATGGTGGTGATGAACATGACAGCAATTTACATTGCGGGAGCACATGCCGCATGTGAAAGAACATGACCAGATGATGCACGAAGTGGTCCACAGTTCTGTTTCTGTTTCACGCACTAGATGGCAATAGTTGTACATGGTGGTTTGTCGTTCTTGCAGCTCTCCCAAGCCCGAAGCAAGAATGGTCGGTAATAAGCAAACTGTAACTATCTGTTGTGTGCAGCAGCAAGTGATCTGCCCTGTTATGACTAACAGGACCCCAGCGACATATTTAACATATAAAAAGAAAAAAAAAGCCACACCAAAACGCAAGTACCCGACTGCACTTGCACTTAACATGAGTTGCACTATAGTCGGTTGCTACGTAGCATCATTAAACTCAGCGCAAGAAAGATCATGAACACCTAAAAACAAGCACACATACATAGCACGGCATGGCTTCCTTTCTGTGTCAGTGTTTTGTACTGCGTTTAATTATGTTATTGTACAAACTTACCCAGTGAGACAGCCTTCTGAAGTACAACCTAAGGTTGCAAATGTAAGCAACACCCAAAGCTGTTGCTGTCCCACCTAATATACGAAATTTGTACAGGTGCCCAACCCAATTGCATTTGCTTAATTCTGTAGCGTAAAGCACCTTTTGCATATTTCAGGTGGGTGATTTTCCCACAGAGACGCATGTTCATGTCACCAGTTGGCAGTAATCAACATCCTTTGTGCAGCCTACAAAAGGTACTGGACACTGTGAAGAGTGTAAAGCTGGACTTGTTGGTGATACGTAACAGTTTCTACAGTGCAATAATTTGACACACGACAAGAAAAGAGATGAAAATGAGTGCTAACTTTCAGTTACTAAGTTTTATTTTTTGGAGAGTGTATGAAAAAAAAAGAAACTAAAGTCAGAAATCATTGCTTTTTTTTTTTTGCATTTGAAGAGCATGTATTTGCACTCGTTCCGAAGTAAATATGTTGAAAATTAGCATTTGTCTTCATTTCTTCTTTTGTCATGTGTCAAATTTTTTTCATTCTGTGGACTGTACTGCAAAGAAAAACACAAGCAGAACACCTCAGCTCAAACTATCGACTCTTTAATGACTATAGTATGTGCTTCACACGGTTGCATGGCAACTACATACACAGCCTTTGTTCTCACAGGTGGGACTTCGTCAGATGGACATGTCCCTGCTGTGCCAGCTAGTGGTCACTCAACGAATCTATCCAGGAGTACAAGCAGGCGCTGCAAGACAGGTCACCGTCTTGGGACCCCAGCCAAGAGGAATTGCTGAGTCAGCTGAACTGGGGCATCTCCAGCCAGCATCGCCGCCTTCGACCTCGCCCCGATCCCACCGCCCACGGTTCGGCACCAGCGCTCGAGCAGCGAAGGCTCCACACCACGTCGCTACGACGCCCGACACCAGCCACGAAACCTCATGGCCGTTCCGGAGAGGACGCTAGCCATCGACAGCTCGTCCGGCTCTAGCGGCGAGTACGACTGACGTTCTATGAATCGAACGACCGCCGCCGCTAGATGTGTTGACGGTGCAGGCTCTGGTGACCACAGCTACATATGTAGTGTGGCTAGTTGGACTGAAAGAGATGTTCAGACGATTTTCGCGAGATCGTCGCCAGCTCGAGCAGTTGGATGAGCACTCGTAACTCTTGGAGTAATGTGTTAGTTCAGCAGTTCAAGCAAGCATTCTGAAACTAAACTAAAACTTTTAAACTTCCATCATTGGGCACTTTTGTCCTTCTATCCATTCCTGTCTGAAACTAAAGAAGTCAAGTTGCTCGTAAAATATGTTCACTCACTCATTTATAGATGGAACATATTGCCGTGAGAAAACGCACACGTGCATTAACTGTGACAAAGCTTGTTAAGCAGTGCTTGACCAAAAAATGCTGCAGCCGTGTTGCATTGTTGGAAGGGGCCCGACAACTAACCGCGAAGGATTAAAACAATCAATCTGATGAAGCGTTAGCACAATTGCATCTTCATCATAATGTACGGATCTTTGAGGCAATCTCGTCTCACAGAATTTGTTAATCCTACTGAAAAGGCAACAATGAAAACCTGATTAGGAACAACGCAAAGTCGAACCCTGATATCGATTTTGAACGGTTTCACAGAAGGTTCTATATGTAGACAATTCAATATATGCAATTCCTTTATATGTCAAAGATATGCAGTCGAAGTCCCTCAATAAGAGACACTGACATAACAAGCAAATGGGCACAAAGACACCAGTGTGCCCACACTAAAATATAAGTTGGTAGAAAAATGCATACGAAGTACCCTGCTAATAATAGATTTCTAATATACAAGACAAGAATTGCTGCCCAAAGCATGCCTCTTATAAAGTGGTTTAACTGTATTTGAGGACATGTTACGACTGTTCGATATACACTATGATTTGCACTTTGTGGGGTCGACTGTAATCACAAGTACTGTGGGTTTCTCTAATATCATGGAGATGTCGTGACTTTCAGTGACCATAATTTGTACGTGTTTTTCTGGAATTCCATACACATCTTGTCATCAATCGTGCCATGTGATTGATGCTGGCCGTGGCGGAACGCTGCCCCAAATGTGTGCCTACAATGAAGGATAGAAATAATAGTGCATATATCAAGAAGCGTATGAAAATTTAAATACACTGCTTATGAACAGTGGTCACACACACAAAATGCTATCATATTTTGCCGTGTGCTTTCAGCAATTTAAAACGAGTAAGATCAAACTTCGGTGCGTCACAGCAGTGACAAAGTGCAGGCACAGCGTATTGAATGTGGTTGGTGCTCAGGTATTTTTTATGTCACGTCTTGTGTAACTGTAGTAAATTTGAAAAAAGAAAGCAGTGAAGCATTGCAGGAGTTTGCTAATTATTATTCAAGGACTCCTCATGATAAATACTCTCGTATGTCGTTATGTCGCCTGTTGCGTATCGACAAGTTTTAGAATTTCAAGCTTAGCGTCACCAGCAGGACATGCGCGACATCTAGCTCCCGCAGAATGTCTCAGTCAGACTGGCTCGCATATGTGTAAGCGAGCACGCTGACAGCCACGAAAAGGTGCTCACTATAGTCACGTCATAAAATGAGAACTTCATTTCCAGGCACAAATAGTGATAGTGCGTTTATGTTTGGCTCAACTATACTTTGTTCACAAGTTTAGTTTATCACTGTTTATTAAGAGTGTCACAGTGGCGCAAAGAAAATTGATATGCCTTTTTTAATAAATGCTTTGCCATAGTGTTGGCAGGCACACTATGTTTAAATGGCAGCTATTTTGCATATATTTGCATAAGGCAGCTTAGAAGTGTAATGATATAATAATTGTTGGGGTCATATGCCTCAAAACCTTTCTGTATCTCACCAGAAATAAAATCTGTTCATTCATTCATTAAAAACCGGAATATGACTATGAGTGACACCACAGGGGAGGGCTTTGGAAGGTTCGACTACATAGGGGTTTTTCGGCGTGCACCTAAATCTAACCACGTGGGCCTCTATCGTTCTGCCTCTATTGAAATGCCGCTTCCACGACCGGGATTCGATCCCACGGCTTTCGGTTAACGGTCGAGCATTAAAACAAATAGAGCACTGCGGCATGTGGTAGCTTAGAAGTGAGGAAAGGCACTGTAACGAGGAACACGCCTTGTTTCATTAGAACCAGGATTCCTTCAAATTATAAACAAAAGAAATTAGTTGTGCGCAGCAAGGGAGTGCTCTGTTGCATCCATGGCATGCTGGAATTTTATCCGCAAGCATTGAATCTAAACGTGTCCGATCGTGCCCTCTCATTTTCCTTTCCAGTCAGCATGCAAAAAAGAAGCCATCATATCCCATTCTGAATTCGCATGATAAACTTAGATGACTGTGCTTTTCGCAAAAACTGATACATCTTGAGCAATTCCTAAAGCCCACGTAACCTAAATATTTGTGCCACTGTGCGTGGGCATACGATGTGCCGATGAGAACTTGCAACAAACGCAGCTTTCACATCCACGAATCATGAAAAATGGCTGCACTTGTTCTCCAGAAATGCAGGAAACAGAACAGGAACAATCAATGCATGAGCAAGTGGGTGAAAGCCGAAATTTCGACGCCGCTTACTGATGTTCATTTTCAAGAAAGTGTCGTTTGTACTATAATTTCACTTCGTTGGAAAAGCAAATACACTAAACTTGTTTGCACCACAAGACAGGCATTTACTGCATGTTTTGTGAACTGTGCACTGATAGATTGGCTGCGTAAATTGACTGATTCAAAGCAGCATCAGCTACGAAAAACTGCTTAATCAAAGGCTTCCGATGAGTTTTGACCAACTGAGGTTCTTGGGCCACCCCCCCCAAGCAAGGTAGTCGAGTGATTTTACATTCTTTACTACTAAAAATATGGCAGCTGCAGGAGGGAATCAAACCCACAATCTCTTTTGCTTTGCGGTAAAATACCATAGCTGTAGATCTAGCTACTAGGGCAGTTGTTAGACCTCTGGCTAAAGAGGATCGTAAAAAAAACTGTTTAAGGTGTGGGGTTTTACATGATAAAACCACAATACGATAATTAGGCATGCCATAGAGATCTAAATACATTAGTGTTTAGAATTTCACACCTACCAAGATGTACCAACCGTGACAAGGAAATGAACCCATGTCGTCAAACTGAGCAGCGCACTAGCTCTTTCATAAGTTGTTACATAAGCATATTTCATAATTCCAGCTATAACTTTCACATTCGCATACTTTAAGTGTCTGTTCGACAGTTCCAAGTGATATGGTTGCCACCTCATCTTTTCTCTCAGTAATTGCTTATCTCAGCACTTCAGTTTGAAGTGCTTCTCAAATGTACGCGAACACTGCATAAGAATGGTCTTTTTCACTACGTGCGCTAGAATTGATAAGTGCCTATTATGGTTGAAGCACATTTCCGATAGCGACACGTGTTATCTGGAATGGGATGCCCTGTTTAATTGTGTGCGACATGAAGCCGTGTATTGTGTGCAGTGTTTCTTTCAACCCTGTGTGTGTGAAAAATCAAAATACATCTTGCACCATTGGCTCAATAAGGTTCGGTGAATAAATATCTTGTGTCTGCCTGAAGATGTGACACTGTCTGTGACTACAGCTGTTGTCTTTATGACGTGTCTGTTAAGAGTGTCTCCTTTTCTCTCAAAGATTTGCTGGCGAGCTGTTTCATTGAAGCATTGAAAGAAATTATTAAATGAGGCATAGCTGGCAAAGCATATGTTTCATTTTAAGTTTTCAGATAAGTTGAATCCACTGCCCTTTGTGAAGTGAAAACTCAGATGTATATTGGGACTTGAGCACAGATTCACGGCACAAACAATTTTTTTTTGCTTTAATTGCAGTCTATCTGTGAAATATAAAGATGGCCTGTTTCAAGCAGGTAATACCATAATGCTGAGCAAGTTGTAAGGGTGCTTCTATGTGACAAGCTTATTACATTTACCTTAACCTAGAGTACGCATTTAAAATACTGTTTAAATTCCGTTTTATGTGTGCATAATCAGTTTAGAGAAAGCACAGCAATGAACATGTGCATCGGGCTGTGTGAAATGGGCGGCCTGTCCATATTGCCTGCCCATAAATACTTTGACCAATTGCAATAATGTAACATTGAGCAACACTTCACTCTGTCACATTCCTGTGTTGTCATATTCAGCTGGTGAAATGTGGTCTTGTTTATCTCTCCAGAGCTTATACTCAATCACCATTCTGGACACTATGAAACTGCCATATTGTCAGATTTTGTAATGACGGCATTTTTGACTAATCAGAGAGGTGTTTGCAGCCATGTTGGCCAATCAGAATTCACAAGATGGCGAACTTGGGCAACATGGTACAATATGACAGCGTCAAGAATGGCGCTGCTGACCTTTTGACTGCTCACATTTATCTGCATCACTCACTCGGTTTAGCAAGGAAAAAACTAACAATTTTTGTATTTGTGTGTCTGGACGAAGACTGTTAAACTTTTTTTGTTTGAAAAGGATGAAGTGTCTAGCATGCATCATGGCTATTCTGTAATGAATGCGGTAAAAATGTCTTGGTGTAGCTGCATCCTGAACTTTATTGTCAGGTTATTGCTAGTAATTGCTAGTATTGCACATCTTGGGGGTTCTAAGATAAGTGTTTCATGTGGCCATTCTTCTAAAAAAAGGGCGTTTGGGAGAGTGACCTTTTTTTTTTCCTTCCCTTTGGACAACTTGTTGAATGCAACGTTGGGTGTGCCCTTACTCATTTTTATTCACCACTGTGCCACTACACAAGGTTTTGTTGCATGAGGCACGAACAAAATCTTTGAAGCTGCCATCACTTTGATTGTGCCAATAGTGCTAGAATGCCGCAGAACGCTCTGAAGAGCAATTTGCACCTTTTGAGGAGTCTTTTTGCCCCACAGTGCGGTTGTCATTTGGCTTGCTTGGAAACTTGGTGCCCGCCACTGTCCTGTCAAGCAGTCTACGTGACACTCATAGTAATCGCACCGTTTACAACTAGTAGATACTGCCTGCGTGGCATCAGAGCAAGATAGATTATTATCGTTGTGGGACAAAAAGATGTTAACCACGCATGAAAAATGCCAGAGAAATAATGGTCCGGCAAGTTTCGCGGGTGTGTAGGATGACCCTGCCACTGCCAAACGTGTGCATTTTCACATGCACATTTTCATGTTCATTTGAATAGAGAAATCGCAGCTCCCTTTGGTTAATAAAGTACAGTCATGTGCAATATGAAATGGAACGTTGAAATTACATTCAACATGCCATAGTGGCTAAATGCAGTTACCGAACGAGAAAAGTTTCCGCGACACCAAACGTTCTGGTGAATGGTACATCTTGCAAATCTATGCATCCTAATGTTGTCTGCACATCATGACTATATGTACCTTATGGGCTGATTGGGTGTCACTTTCATATTGTTCACAACTGTACAAAGTACGCTGAACTATGTTTCGACTGCACTTAACAGTTCTCAGTTTTCTAAATTTTAATCATGTGCCATTCATGAACTCGTTTTGACATCCTACTGTGAGGAGCTGATTGTATACATCTTTATTAATTTTACGTGTAGTTTTGTATTGTTCTTCAGAGCAGTGTCGTTTTACTGTTGTAGTGGTGAACTTCAGGCTTCTGGCCGTCAAGTAAGAAACACATTTTTAACTATTCAGTTTCCAGACAAATTGTGTCACAATTATTTTGTTTTGTGCAACCTACGTGCTTGTGTTTGTCCAATGCACTGTATTGAAACACTTGAACTGATTCTGCAGTCTCCACTACTGTGGCTTTGGAATGTATCTAGACAGTTTTCTAAGCATGATGTTCTATTTGCTGACTTAAATGTTTTTGCTAACATATACATGTTTTTATTGAATGTTGCCCACATTTTATTTACACTATGAGCCAACATGTCTCACTTTCATCAAATTTCTGGCCCATGTTTCTTTTTCTTTGAACTGTGGCACAGGTTAAAAATAATTTAAATTTTTACACTTATTCTGTGAAGCAAAGCAGAATTTGTAATCAGTATTGTGTTTTACTTGTCTTCAATGACCATGTATTATTCCTTTGGCCAAGGTTAGAAATTTGTGTATTTTATATTCATAAAGTAATCTTTTAATGCACATCTGCTCACTTTAGTAGCTAACATATCTAGCTGCTTTATTTTTCCTAATTTCATGTTCCTGTCATTTTGTATGCTGACATGCTTTTGACTTCATTCTGACCACACTGATTCTAGTCATTCGTTTGTGGTCAACTTAGCAGCTATTTCATAAATTTAGCAGCTTTTATTTACCATTTGCTTTATATACATGTTTGGTATTCAACCCTTTTATTTACACTTGCATTTCAACATTCCACCTTACCACACGAACTGTCACAAGCTGTCATCATTTTTTTTTATAACACACTATTGACTCCACATTGTCTTGCCATGAGCAGATCATAGAAAACTCGATTTGCATATACTGGTTATGCTTCTCTATAGAAGGCATTCTTAATTTGGTTCAAACAGCTTTGTTTAAATCTGAGCTCGCCAAAGCTTGTTGTCTAATATTGCCACTTTTTTTTCTTTGCTGCAAAAGCTTTTAAAAGAAATTCGTGTCGTTGATGCTATACAATACTGGTACTCACAATTGCTTTACAAGTTCTGAACAAGCAAGGTGGATCTGTTTCGCTTGGACTGCGTGTATTCGTAAATTTGGGAAAATAAAAAAAATATCACGTTTGCAACTGAAGCTCTGTGTGTTGCAATTTCGGTTAGTCAAGTCACGTGACGTAGCAGATTGCGCCGCGGTTTCGCAGGCGATCGCAACATATGGCGCGCGTCTAATGGGCGTGGCCTCAACGCGAACTGATAGTGACTCGTTCAAAAACAATTCGAAAACATCACTACTTGTAACACACGCGTGGTACACCTTAACGTGTTACTGTTTACGTCTAGACGTTGAGAAAACTCACTAAAATTAGTAAATTCTCCGGTCATCGCACCGATCGAGCGCCGCGTTGCAAGAGCCAGCAGGCCCGCCGCGTAATTGCAACCGAGAAAAGGTTTTGTTCCAAAACATTTCGCGACGCTAAAGAAACCTCGAAAAATAACACGGACAGTAGCATACAGTAGTACCGGCGACCCTTCAGCCGACGCACTCATCGAAATTTGTATTTCCATGTCACCCCCAGCGCTATTCTCCATTTCTAGCCAATCGACGTGCATGCCGAAGGTTGCGGAAAAGGAGGAGGCCCGCAAGCGGACTTACGAATCACGACGACGCGTCGTGACGTCACCCAATTGCCCATATAAGGAAAGGCCGTGGCTCCTCCCTTTTCCAACTTTCTTTTGGTGAGTTGTTTACGTACGCGCCGACGTGTTCTTCTCTTTGAGTTTTTCTTGGTTTTACGCTTATCTTTTTCTTGTTGTTGTTCATAACTCGCTGTCGTCCGGCGGTGCAGCGTCAGATGCTCGGCACGCCCGTCAAAAAATAAGAGAATAAAAAAAAAAGGTTTCTTTTCCGCACTTTCAGTGCGCGCCGTACCTACAGCGAAGTTACGGCCAGTTCGTCCCGTCTCCGCGCGGTGGGATCGTCACAATCGCGACGAGGGTATGCGATCCCTCGCAGAACACGACTGGTCGAAGTGACGCCCGCGGAGTAAGAAGGTCCTCGTGCATCGAAACTCTGGATAGGCAAGGACGAGGTGAGAAACGACACTGCCGTCTCCGATCGCCCGACCAGACGACGTTGGATGTCTTCGCCGAGATAACAGGAGAACCTTCCGACTCGCGGTAAGTCCATCTAACCTTGATACTCGAAAGCGTGCAGGCCAGGCATCAGATTGCCTTCGCTCGGATAACCTTGGTCCTGCCGAACTTGTCCACTCGTTCGAAGCGACTCTGCGAAAAGGCGCAGCCTTTTCGATGGCGCGCGGTGCCGGCAAAGCCGCTGTGCTGACTGGCACCGGGCGGCACCCGATTTTATTTGGGACGCCTTGGCGAGGAACCAAGAGAGCGGCCCACGTCGCTCCTACGTCGAAAGGATCGTGGGTTACACTTTTGGTCATGCCCAGGCGGGCTCCAACCTCCTTCACTTCGCTCTCGACCTGCGCGTGCGTTGGGGCGTTCTCGGGGAGCCCACGTAGCGAACCGGCGCAGAGGACCGATTTGAACGAGTGCTCGGGAGGCATGGAGTCGATTTGTTTCCGTGTGTAGCGTCCAAGTACGAGCCCGCGACCTTTTGAGCAGTGTTCGTGTACTCGTCTTCGGTAGCGAAAAAAAAGAGATTAACAGCCGCGCGGGCGACGGATAGATCACACAGGCCTTCGACGATACCGAGCGAACATGGCGGCCGACGTAAGCGCGTTCTCTACTGCAAGCAAGCTGCCCGTACTAGCGGCGGACCCTTCATGGCCACGCTACGGTGAGTAACCGGATAGCGACAGCGGCGTAGCGTGACTAAAACGGCGGGAAACGCCGCAGTGACACAGTTTGCACATTCGGTGATCGTTCGCTCGACCAGCACAGTCCACTCCGTGTGGTCTCCTATGCGCGCGCTTTCCTGCATTCGTGGTGTCCGTGTGACGTTTCAAATGAGCTCAAGGATTATCTGAAGGTGACGTGCAATAACGACTGGAAAATTGTTAAGGCTCCCAGCGGATGTCATGAGTCATACTTTACGACCTCTGTTTACCAAACCAAAAGGCTTTGCGCCGGTCGCGATGTGCAGGGAGGCGTGTCGCTTCTTAACTACATAAAATCATGCATCTGATCACAGTGGCGCTGTCGTGATAATGCTGCTGTCACGGGACGCCTGATGAAATTGCATAACTTGTCAACTCGGTTGTCGTGAGCTTGCATGTGTTGCTGTTGGTGTTGTTCGGGTGCCTCCTCGCACAGCAAAAACGGCTCGTCTGTTACTACTGCGCGGGCTTAGAGAGCAGCTGTCGGCCTTTTAACCATCGTTTGTTGAGATTTTAGTTCCGCATTCGCGACATCTGAGAGGTCGCACACTTTTAAAACGCGCAGAAGGAACAGCTGTTTGATGCGAATTCGCAGTACGTGCGATTGCCGTACAACCGAGGACGCGTTTTCGCTACGAAATGTTGCCGCGGGCATCGTAACGGAAAAGTGTTTGGAAAAAGTGCTGTTATGCGGCGCTGGCGTCATGTTTAAAAAAAGTTTTCAGTGCAGTTATGTGGCGTGGGCGTTGTTGTAGTGCTAGTAGCGCGAAGTTTGTTGTACTGAGCGCGTTGCATCAAACGAAGCCGGTTGTAGCGAATATTTATGCATGGAATAACAAATGCTCTGCTAGCTGCTGATTCAAAGGTGGCTGGTTAGATCCCGGCCGTGGCAGTCGCATTCAGAGTTATTCAATTGAATAACTGTGGTCGCATTTTGGTGAAGGCGAAATGGTTGAGGTATGTGTGCTGTGCAATGTCGGCGCACGTTAAACATCAAATGGTCGAAATTTCGGACACGGCGTCTCTCGTAATCGTGTGGTGGTTTTGGGACGTAAAACCACCGATATTAATAAAGCGTAAAAAAAAAAAAACGGAGACCCAGGACGGCAGCTATGTTCTTCGTTGTGTGTGAACGTGTATCGACGGCTATGGCTCGTTTTCTGCTGAAGCGCTTCTCTATATGACGCCCCAAGATTTGTCGCCCCGATTTTCCCAGCGCATTCAGCGAGTATCCTCCGGATACAGACTACCTTTTTCCTGGCGCATCGCTTGCGCGCTACAGTAGCAACAGGTCGATCGGCCACCCGGATTCCGGAAGCAGACGACGCCTCTTGCGCAATTACTGTCTCACCATGTACTACCATGCATGGTGTGTTCTGCAAGTGCGAAGCTGCTGCTGCACCCGTCTAATTAATATTACCTTGAAGACGCGTCTCGTCAAACGAGTTCTGCAAGGAGAAAAAAAAAAAACTGCTCCGCGAATTAACGGTATGGCGGTAGATATATAGCGCGAGAACAGAACGACGACAAAGGGACAAGATTAAGCTGCGACGTCGCTCGATTGTGGAAAAAAAAAATACAGAATATCCGCGGAGTAAATGATGATGAGTGGGCCGAAGCGTCCGTCCGTCCGTCTGTCTGTGGATATGCTGCGCTGGTTATGCCGGAAGTATGGACTGCCCGAGACCACAAGGATCTCCGACCCTATAATGTTTTCGTCGAGGTACCAGCAAACGATGGGACTTCTGCGTTAGATGAAGGCTTTTCATTGCTTCCGAATTTTGCGGCTCACGTGCTGCAGGTTTTGTTTTGCTCCATCATTAAAGTGTTTTGTTGGTGTTGTTTTTTCTATTTTTGTCGCATCCAATAGGAGTTTAAAGCTCGCCATGTCTTTTAAGCGCCCCGCTTTAGGAGCGAAGCACCTTAGGCTTTCATATGTCCAACCTATTCTAGTACACTGTAGTCCAACCGTTGTTGTCGAGGGTCGCCATCGTCCCTAGTCGCAGCACGGGCGCGAAAAATCTGTGTGCAGTGCCATCTACATACCGCACATAGCGCGCATATGGTTAAAAAAAAAAATGACCGTAGTCCATTCGTTCGCGCATCTGTCCGTCTATCCATCCGTGCGTTCGTCTGTCTATCTGTATGTCTTTTGCTAGTCTGCGACCTCAACGTAGACAGTATGGACCTTAATACCTAGCTTCGCTCTATCATCCGCATTAAATTCGTGGATCTGCAGCCATGTTTTCTTTTTTTTTTCTCTAATTGCAGGCAGCTATCATGGGGAGTCATGAAAGCAACCAGAGTTGCAATAGCTTTAGTTGATCCACTTTTATTTTTGAGCATAAAAAAAGCATGATCAGCTTTCAGTTTCCTTGTGCAAACTACAAAAAAGAGCTGGCCACAGCGAAGAAAGACACAGATCACATCAGCGCAAACTATTAACTCTTTATTGCAGTGATAAGCAGCAGTGATAGCTATCTACATGGGACATAAATAGCACTGTGTGTTCTGTGTGCGTCTGTTTTTCGTCCGTGTCCAGTTCTTTTTTTTTTTTGTAGTTCGCACAAGGAAAGCTAATCATGTTTAACCAAACAGCCCATTGGTCTTTATCAGCTAAGTGCGTGCATCCAGTGCATGCCATAGCTACCGTACCATAGCGCATCCTAGAGATGATGCCTTCACCCCCGTATTCACAAACGCTCCTCGACTCGACTTTCATCCTTCACTTGACAGAGTTGAGCACTGCGCCACGGCTCGGCTCAAAAATGACGCTGCCCTACTCAAGAATCGCAGCAGGTTATCGCTGATATGCAGTGACTTGCCGTACCTAGAGAGGGCGCTCCCGTCAGCTTTTTCAAGTGAAGGCTAAGCGTTGAGTGAAGGGACGTTCTAGAATACGGGGGGGTCAGTCATTTAGAGCAAAGTGCCGACGATTCCGTTCTACATCGGCTGTCATTAATCTCTCCTCTGCGCTCTTCACCGTGACGTCTTTGGGGACAAACACACCGCTCCCGAAAGCAGAATCCGAAAATAACGTCGGACGAAGCCCGGCGCCGAGCAGACGAAATCCGATGCAGACGACGAGGGCGAAAGCAGCAGAAGTGCACGCGTTTTTTGGATCGAGTATCGAAGCGGAAAAAAAAAAAAAACGTTGAAAATAAAGTGTCGTGTGTCATGAAATACAGGGAACGAGGGGAACAAAAATAAAAATGACACGGTCGTTTCCAGTTGGCATCGGAAAAGTTTGCGCTTGCAGCATTAGAAGCTGCCAAATAAGCTCAAGTGACGTATACTTTCAAAACTTTCGGTAACAAAGGTTGCGTTACGCAGGGACAAAAAATGGGGAAAAAAAACGCCTTTCCTCCCCGCTGGGCGCAAACGTCCTCCTGAATCGAACCCTAGTAACGGCGATATTTGTTGAAATAAGTATCCACTTTCGATTTATATCGATACGCAGTGCCGCTTCCTTGCTGGCTAGAAACGTTGCTTCTTGGAGATCGCACGATTTTTACGCCGCCACGACGTAAACACGCCACAAATGTTTAGTGGTCCCAAATTGCTGACAAATTAACAAAAGAAAAGTACTGGATCTTCAAATTAATCAGCACTAAGTACGATTAGATCTAGAAGCACGCACACTACCAACTCGGGTTTAAGGTTTTTTTTGAATAGGTCACCCGTCACCACTGACAGGAAGCCATGCATTCGCATGAACGTAGCAAGCAACATCACAAAGACATGACTACCGTTTTCTTAATCAGGATGACAGAAGATTCAAAACACAGGAGCGCGTGGCAGATCAGTGAATCACCACATTGAGAACACAAATGTTATTACTGCGTAAACAAGTTACTACGCAAAGTTAGGATCGTCTCGTCAACACGTCATCTTCCCTGGAATATACTTCAATTGGTAATTCAGCATTGGTCCTGTGCTGCGTGCGTGCGCGTTTTTTTTTCATTTTTTTTTCTTCGTATTGCACTCGCAGATCTGTCGCACCAATTTGTCCATAGCAAAGTACTCCTAAAATACTGGCGTTCCATCTCGCGAAACCGTAGCAATGGTTAGCGTTCCAGTCACTCGCATAACATATCGATCATCATCACCCTGCTGAAATGCCCCGAACCCTTGCATAATGCGAGGTAAACAGTTTTCCTCGCATTAGTAAATTTTAGGTCCAGTAAAGAAAACCGCTCTCGTCGAAAAAATTACGCTAGGCTAGGTAAGGCTGAAAACGCGCAAAAGAAAGTATACATGGCTGCGACGCCGTCTGGAAATCATCGCACCGCTAGCCGTGACGTCATAGATTTTTACAGCGTCTGGTGGGGCCTTAGTCATTGTTTGTTGGCAAAAGTTGAAGTGCGTGATTTTCTGAAGGAACCAGACACTTACACACACAGCAAGTTCCAGGAACGTGTTTATTAAGCCAATGCGGCTCAAAATGCGGAAAGGTAAACGGAAATCTGTGACGTCACACTGACGTTTAAGTGTTGCGAATTTGGCGCGAAATTTAAAAAAAAGTGAAACTTTGCCACTATTTTCTATTCAGCTAATCAACTAATGAAGACGAAACAAACGACGATGGGGCTCTCATGTGATAAGTTATCAGTCTAAGCTGATTCAGTATCTCATCAGGCCGTTCTAGAATAGGGTACACTATGCTTTGCGATAGCGAGCGCTTGTCACCTCTGCGCATGACGCATGTATGTTAGCGTATCATATCGTAATGGTCCTCCGTATGCTGTCGTAAAGCTGTCTGTTGTACTTTAGTGACCCCTAACATCGGCGCATTGATTGATTGATTTGTGGGGTTTAACGTCCCAAAACCACCATATGATTATGAGAGACGCCGTAGTGGAGGGCTCCGGAAATTTCGACCACCTGGGGTTCTTTAATGTGCACCAACATCGGCGCATCTAGGCATCCCCTCCCCTCTCCCCCCAGAAAATTTTCGCTTTCGCAAGTGGTTGGTTGAACCCCAACCGGTAAAACATTTCCAACTACGCGCATGCTTTAAACACTCCCACTACTGCAAACAGCTGTCGCAATTGCGCCATTCCCGCTCGTCCCACGATCCGCCTTTCGCGCCTTCGCTAATCTTTTCCATCGCGCCCCGCGAAGAATCTTCGAGCCCCCTTAAGAGCGCAAAGAGCGGCATCAATTCGTCGCGACCTCATCGCGATCTGCGATACAGCGGGACTCTCCTTCCTTCGACCGACTCATTTCCGCGATGGAATACGGTGTGCTTTTCGCGAGGAGGGGTGCGGCGGTTAGCTTCTCGGGTGTTTAGAGCCGCAATGTGTGCGTGGGGCATTGATCCCCTCTCGCTCGCGGCCTTGCTGGCGGTCGACCCGAGGAACCGCCGTCATCTACTTGCTGCAAGACGCTCAGCGAGCGAAGTTAGGCGTAGGTCTGCAACGTACGGGCTTCGAAAGACTCTCGACGGGCGGTTGTAGCGTAGGTGCGCGGCCGAACGCTTGCGAGACATAGGCGAGGTCCCTCGCGCGAACGTGTACTTATGCGAGGTTGGTAGGGCTTTATTATATATATTTTTTTCCGAGCTTCCCACGCGTAGAATGTGTGTGTGTAGTTGAGGCGGCGATGTGTGCCCACTACAGAACGTGTCGTCACGCTTGAACTTCGAAGGGAGGGAATCCGTGAATGGGCCGGTCGCAGCCAGAAGAAACAGATGGCGGGGAAGAAAAAAAAATTAAAGTGAATTAATAAGAAGGATCTGTCGCAACTACAGCTCGAGAAAATCGCCTTGTTTCGAACTGCTGTTTATGCGAACAAGAATGCATGGTACCCGGTTCAAGCCAAACTGTTCAAGCAAGAAAATAAATGAAGATGCTATATTTCCAGGTTTATTCGGCCAGTTTTGTAATGGAATTTAATGTACACAGTGCCCGCAATTTGTTACTGGGTTCAGTTATCGCATTTACTTGCATCGCAGATGTGATGTGTTCACTGTCGGTTGTTATAGCAGTAATGTTCATTGTTTGATCCATTACAAGTGCACTCCAATAAGCGAGACGTGTGACAAATTCTTTTAGCTCACTTGTAAAGATAAAAATAAGGTTGAAAAGCACATGAATTAGCAAGGCTACCTGCAGTGTCCAGAAAATTTGCGCGTTCTGGCAGCTTTGATAGCGGCTTAAATTTTGTGTGTGATTGACACTGATGTGAGCGCATTTCTCGCACAATTCTCAACCCTACAATGCTCAGTAGTATTTGCATCACTGCACAGTTTCGGACTTTACTGGACTAAAATGACCAGACAGGTGTCATGTGATAACCTTGTACAATGTCACTGAAATAAGAACACCTGCGACCTTGATTGCAAAGCATCAGCAGAAAAATTTTGAACAGTGCAGTGAAAAGAAGTATTTCTCTTTCTTTGTGGATGCATGCTCCCGTTCTTGAGATAGGTTCTAAAAAATAATAAAATAAGAGCAAGGTTAATCAGCAAAGCTTTCACCTTCTTCGTGTTCAAAATAATGCATAATCCTTCACGAAATAACTCTGAACTTAAGCGCAGCGTAGATCCTTAGTACAATGTACTAACATCCAACAGCTGCCAATTAAGAGCAGGCCTTGCTAGACCTGCTTGCAGAAGCCGACAGCAAAACTTGGCAGCCGTGCGTAGAAGTAGTGGAACTGAACTTCTCTATTCACTTGCACACGGACATGGGCGTAGACAGAGCTGAAAAGAATTTTGAAACTGACACACGTTCTGTCTTGCTCATCTCTACACATGCAACTGAGACTGTTACTCTTGTACATGTTTTTTTTATTACTTTCTGCCACCTACAGAGTAGACAAACTTGTTTAGTCTGATACGCTGACGTAGCCTAAGCAACGAAACGTTTCTCTGTTTGGTTGCGATGCTGCGGTTTCAAAACGGCAGCTGTGGGGTGTTGCTGTAACAAATACTTCGAAACATTCGTGCACGACTGTGCGGGACGTCGTTTTTCGTGGTTTGTGATCATGTATAGTGCATCGGTGTCGAAAGAGGCAAATACTGAAGCCTTTTACAAGTCTGGCAAACGTTATCAGTCGTTGGTGAAGTGCTTCCAGCGTGCTTAGTAACTGCAGACAACGGGGATAAGGAGAGCACAAACGAAACAGATACACCGTAAATATTGTGGATAGCTCAGATGCCGATGTGAGGGCAGTGTCCGTTTGTATAGATGTTGTTTTGCCATCTGTACTGTTTCGCTGCGGTGCCTAAAAAAAGAAAAAGAGCTAGCGTGACTTTAAGTGCTGTTTCATTTCACCCGCTTCATTTGAAAGGCCTCGAATATGCAGAGGTAAATAGGAACGTTTGCAGAATTGGGAAAAGTGCACTTGTCGGGATGAGGCGAAACGAAGGAAGGTCAATGAGTCATAGGCGCAAACAATGTACTAGAAGGATGTCGAACTAGTAGTGCCGTCGTTAAACTGCAATGATTGATAGGCTATCGATAAATGTAAAAAATAACCCCGTGCACCTATGATGCATGTTTACCAAAAAGAAACGTGACATGTTGTAACAAGCACTCATTAAAAACTTGTACATAGGCACTGCATGTGTCTGGTATGTTTCTAACTGCAATCTGAAAACCGTGCTGACCGCGTATTTGTTGAAAATGACGTCCCTGGAAATCTAAAATTTGCAGTGTAACTGTGGCATTTAACTTGCCCTATTTCGGATGTACCTATGGCTTTTTTTGCCACAAATAAAGCTACAGCTAAATCAAGGCAGTCCTTTACAAAACAGGTATTCAGTGGCCATATAGATACATATAATTTTCACAGTTCAAGTAGAGTATTGTAGTATACCTGCAATTATAATATTCAGGGTGGTTGGATTCCCTATTGTGTACTGTCGGATTTATCATCATCAGCCTGACTACGCGCACTGCAGGCAGGGCAAAGGCTTCTTCTATGATCCGCCAATCAACCTGGACTTGTGCTTTCCGTTGCCACGTCATACCTGCGAACTTATACCTGCCATGTTATACCTGCAAATAGGCAAGTCATAGTGGTTACAGTGCTCTGCTGCTTCGCAGCCGACCACCATAACCACTATGAATTGTCGACTCCCTGGCATTGTGTATAAGAGCAGTTCTTTAGATAACGGTACGGTAAAAATCGAACTTATCAGCTGCAGTTTTGTCAGTGTGCTCCGACAGAAAAGAAAAGGTGCAGTTCTAGCATAAACGCCGTCTATATATATGTTTAGAGCTGACACAAGCAGATAGCACCGTTGTTCTAATTACCTTATCTGATATACATGATTGGGGACACTGCAGTCACCCATCCAGGCCGCACAGCATAACTTGAATGCCTGCGTGTGCTGCCAACATGGGCAGAGGGGAGAGTGTCACGATACTCGGTTTACGTCTGTGCGGGCTTCAGTGTATCCTGTCTGGTGTGCGAACAGTACGTCAAGCCATATAGGCTGGTACGTGGCATCTTTCTTTATCTCGGCAGTTACTTCATAGGGCAGCTGATCGGCTTTGAAGGCATGCCCTCAAATGCAGCTTCGAATGCTCCTTTATAGAACGACCGCCTTAACCCCTTGAAGTTTACAACGATTCTGAAATATGGCTTGCCTGTAAAATTGTAGCCTTGAAACATCTGTGGGAGGGAGGGAGGGAGGGAGGGAGAAAGGAAGGAACCAAGGAAAAAAGGAAGGAAGGGAGGAAGGAAGGGAGGGAGGGAAGGACAATAACTTCATTTTGGTCCTGCGGGACAAGTCCCACTTTTTTTCACCGAATTCATGGTGCAGTTGAGGTAGCATGTTGAACTGAAAATCTTAAGTTTATGGCTGCGTTGGGTATGGGCCTCCACATTTTACCCTAGGTAAGGCTGCAGCATCGACAAAGTTGCATGACATTGTAAGCTTCATATTGTTTTTTTGGGTTTGGAACATTTTCCTTCTCTGCAGGAGCGATTTAAACGTTCTTACAAAGGAGAATCTAACAAATCATCTCGATAGCTGTTTCTTTGCCATAGTTGGCAAGATGCTTTGTCAATTGGCATTGCAACCAGAGTGAGCTAAATGTTGCAGCCGTTAGGTAGTTTCATAGATAACGATAACTGCTTCCAAAATTCAAAAGCTGCTACTTTCGATATCGCCAAGCTTGTCCTTGTCAAATGTAAACTTTCTTTTCAATGATACTCATCAAAGTGTTCATATGAGCTGACCTGACAGTTCCTTTCGTTTATGTCCCTTGAAGAAGTGCAGAGACGAGTTTTGAATATTTTCAGATTGTAGACGTAGATAAAAACTCTTGTGTCGAAAATCCTAAAAAGAGTATTGTGTTTCAGATTGGAGCCCTAAAGAAAAGCACTGATGTGAAGAGTATTGTGGTACCTGGAAATGCATAGAATGTATTTGTAATACTGTAGCTTTTAAAAAGCACATTTTGTTTTGATATCGAGCGGTTGGCTTCTTAGTCATGTGTCATCACAGTGTGATGCCACAAGAATAAAAAAAATCATGCAATAATAGCGGCGAATCTGTCGTCTGCTCCTGGTGCATGTAAACGAGTGAACTGTTGTCCAGCGACACCAACAGTGATTTCTGCAATCTAGGATGCGTGCAGAATGCACTGTTCACAAATTCGGTGAAACAGTGTTGACCCGTTGCAAGTCCATTACGGTGGGGCTGGTGTGCCGATGCTCAGCGATGAAACTTAAAAGTAAAATATTTTATACATGCTGTCTGAATCCAGTGTGCAGGAGGCACAAACATTACATAGCGAGGAAATGAAAAAGTTTCCTTTTGTGACGTATCAGAACCGTGTCGGTCCTTTATACAACATGTCTGCATGGCTTCGTAATGTGCTTAATGCAAAGGACACCTACTATATAGTTGTATTGTTTTTGTTTGTGTTCACAGTGTACCCACAGCTGAGCAACATGATAGCGGACGGGGTGAAAGTGGATGGCAGCTGGGAGCTGTGCATCCATGTCACCGACCTCAAGCTCGACCGCAAGCTCAGGGTCAAGGGCGACATGCACATTGGTGGCGTCATGCTTCAGCTCGTCGAATCCCTCAGTGAGTTCGTGCCGTCGGTGTGCTTCGCTTCTTTCATAACAATTTTATCGCTTTCAGCAACTCTCATGAAACCAACAAAAGGAAGTTGTGAAGGCTGTGTCTGTAGTCTTTATCCAAATATTGTAGGTTCGGCCCTTATGGCTGAAAAGTTGCTTTTTCGTCTGCTTTAGTCAACAAAAAATGTCCTCCCCCGATACTTGCAAAGACATATAACACGTGGTAGTGTGTTCCTTACTCTAAATAAGGTTCTGAGAAGCTTGATCTCCGGGTGAAACTTAACGCACGCCTTGGGCTAAATTAGCATGAACTGTGCAGCTTGTACTTTCTCATTTCAGAGGGACAACCCATGTAGTTGTCCTGAATACACCAGGGTACAGTGACGAAAAAAGTTGAGACATCTAAACGTCATCTTTGCTTACCGCAGTCAGTGCAGCAGATGATAAAATGAAAAAGAGGTTGCAGGATGTATTTGTCGATTAAAGATTCAAGAGATGGGTGGCAAATGAAAGTGGACAGAGAAAGAACTTGTCACCAGTGACTTCCTGTCACCAGGTATTACAAAGAGACGCTCCCGCTTACCAAAGCCTTCCGGAGTGTGATAGTGTACATCAGTGCTCGTTTGTGGTTAGTGCATTAGCTATTTCTTTTTCTGGTCTCAAACAAAATATCAAGTCACATTGCCCCCCGTCCCCGCCACATCATCCACTCCACCTCCTGCCGTCTACCAGCTTGCAAAGCAACTTCTCATAGCGTAGCCTATTTTAAGTGAAAGGCCGGGCTGCCGTCTTGGAAGGATAAACCAGAGAGGGGGGGGGGGGGGGGCACTGTTTCAGTGGGAGACAGCTGTTGTTTTTCATCAGTAAAGTTAGCCAGGAAGCAACCAAGCTGCGTGGCAACTGTGCTTGCTACTTGCCGTTTGTTCTTGGACGTACAGTGGGACAATCGACGAAAGGAAGATTAAGAAGTGACAGGAAAGACCGCTGAGCAACTTAGTCCCAACTCCTTAGTCCTTTCGTTTACTTCATTGTGGATTTAAGGTGAAATGCTGTATGAGCATTCTTATGCAGCTACTCTTGTGAATCATCTCTTGGTCATCATATCACTTGTTGGAAGGCACATTAGATTGTCAACATGTGCTTTTTTTTTTTTTTAACCAGGCAGATTAAAAAGGCTACAATAATCTGAAAATCCTGCACAGATTTTTTTACAGAAATCTCATCATAGTTGCAGATTATCGTGAGAACGATCAGGTAGTTTGGGAGTGTTAAGGTGTGTCAGAAGAAATGAAGTGGTGCGAAACAAACAAGGTATCAGTTAGTACATGTTAAAGTAGTGACACATACTTAGCAAAGCCTTTTCTGAATGAGAGGCAGTGTGTATGTTTCTCAGTGACTTTTATCGTTCAACTTTATTGGTTGGCAGTCTAACTTAAAATAGTTTCACATGACTTGTCAACTAGGCTAGATTTCAAATCATTAGTCCCTTCAAGTGCAAATAGCTGATGAGCAAGCATTTGTGATAACAGAAACGGATTTCCCTGGATGCACTGTTGTTTCTTTTGTGACAAAATTTGGGACTTTATTTTGTGGTGACTCATTTTTCGTTAATGCCTTTTGGAGCTTCTATGTGGTTCAGTAGTGGTTAAGCAGCCTGCCCGTATCAACAGGATTACTATTGCACGGCCTAGCTTGGATCTGAACACGGTGCACCTTTATGAAATAATAGCCAAGGTGTGTGGGATTGAACAGGTGCCCGCATATTCACATATTGGCAAGGCCACCTCAGGAATGTTTTTGCCATGTTGTAAGGCTGTAGCATAATCCCCAACGAACATGATGGAACGACGTTGCAGCTGTGCCGTCAGGTTATTTTCTGTCACCTGTCCCGTCACATCACCGCAATGTACAAGCTCGACGACAGGTTCTTCCGCATTTGGCGGCAGTACCATTTATTTTCATTTTTTGGGCTGTCAGTCATCTTTTTTGGTCATGTCAGTGGGAGAAGGTAAGGAAACACTCATTCCCACCCCCCTTCCTTCAACGAAACAAAAGCCGGGGCAGGCAGGACGACGGCGGCAGCCGGGTGGAAACGACCGTGTCGCGCGCTGGCACTGCAACAGTCTTTAAAAAAAAGTCGGCGTGAATTAAGGCAACTGGGGCGATGTCGCCTCTGGCACCACTCCCAAACTCTCTTTCTCACCAAGCGTGGATGCGTGCTGGTGCTCCCACAGAGCGGCAGCAGCTTTGCAACCACAGAAGAATGCATGCTGTCCTGAATTTTAAGGCGAAAAGCTTAGATGCCTCATAAAATACAAGGGGCAGCATCATCACGAGTGATAGAAAAAAAAAATGACAATGTTACGATATGTTGCCACCCTAACATCACAGATAACCCAAATTTCCGACGTCACTAATGATGCCGCATAACATGACATCACTGAGGACATCATCACATGACATAATCACTTGGCCAAAGGGTGATAAATCATAAATGTAGTGAGATGCAGAAAGCATGTCATGCCCCTTATCTTTGAAGCAGTGCAAAATTAAGTTAGGTGCACAACGCTTTTGTAGGGAGGCAGAGTAGGATCAGTACGTCAACTGAGTAGAACCGAGTCTTTTTAGACAGACATATAAAAAACCTTTGAGTTTTTTTACCTATCTCTTTGTAATAGCTGCCGCTAAAAATGTTCTAAAAAAACTTCTTAGGCTGTAAGTGCTCTGCATCAGTGAAATCTTTTTAGCCAAAAACAGATGAATTCTGGAAACAATGAAGGCGACAGGGAAGCGGTTAGTCTCCTGTCTCCTTCACCGTTTTCGGCGCTCGTCCATTTTTGGCTGGAAACATTTCCTTGATGAGTAAGAAATCTATCACAATTCAAGTTCGCCAGCGGGCAACTGTCAAACTTACCATTGCTACTCTAGGAAAGGAAGCAACAGTAAGTCATAAGGTTGCAAATTGAAGAGTTGCAAGTTTGGCTGCACCATTTGGTGCCACCAATGTGGCCACTAACTTTTCTAAAAAGCTTGCTCACGGAATGAAGATAACTGTTTATGATTTGTGTTTTATGAGTTATTGTAGAAGTATATACATGATGGGCAATGCTGGTAGTGACACTCTGACATGCAAAGCCTAACCAGAGACACACAAATCAAGCAGTGCTGTGACTTCCTTGCATGCTTTACTCAACTGCTGGTGTAAAGCATTGACAGTGAGATGCTCATTAGCGTGCACTACGTTTGTAATTTTCCGTCAACAAAATACTGAGCCCACTGAAAAAAAAAATCAACATATATTGCAGTCGCACAAACTTCCACAAGGTCTCGCTGCTGTGAACAGATTTGGTATCTCAGTATCGGCAAGTGGCGATAGGCAGCCATTCCCATTTCCATTTTTGATAAAGTTTATTCCTCCTCCAGTATTGGCGCATTTAAAAAGTTCGCAATACCGAAATTCTCAGATGGACGAGTCTAACAAACCTGGAGTGAAAACAGTGAGGCAGCCACTCTATACGACACGCGTTCCACCTTGTCTGCCAGTGCCAGCCAAGAAGGCCAAGCCGAATTGGCGAGCAAGGGTGTGCTGTCAAAGCAGCAGCAGCTGCAGACGAAGACGAGGAGATGAGGTGGTTCCTAAGGGCCAAGTAGGGGAGGGTGTAGACCCATTTTTAGAGCTTGTCCCCCTCCGAGATGGCGCCAGTCTAAGACACAAAAAAAAAACAAAAACGGAAGCTTCTTGCGGAGAAGACCCTAGAGGAGTTAAAGGGAGCAACGGAAGGGAAGCGCGAGGTCTCGGATCTGGTTAGCAGCCGGCGGCAAGATACGCAGTCAGTTCCGATTCACAAGCAAACAGCAGCGGGCCGTCTCTTGGAGTAAAATGTGTGTGTGTGTGTGTGTGTACGCACTCACGCAGGCGCACACGTTTGTTGGTGGTTTCGAGATGAGGTTAAGGTCGGAAGCGTCCTCTTGTAGTTTGTTCAGCACATAGATCAAGGGCGTGAAACAGTCGCGCGGCGTTAGTCACACGTCCGGTAGACTGGGTGCTTGTTTGGTTGAGAGCAGATTTCGAAGACGGGGCGGGCGCTTTAGTCGCCGTTTCGCGAATTCCCTTAAAAAGCGCTTAATCCTCCAATTTCGGATCAAACTGAAGGACTGAAGTGAAAGCCTTTCTTTCTTTACATGCATTCTGTTTCTCTGCAAATTGTTGTCCTAAGCAAATCGACATTAATTTTAATGAAATCTCATAATTAAAAATACTAGGGCTGGTTGAGGAGTACTCAAAGGAGCAAAAAATTGAAGCAAAAAGCATTTGCTAAGAAAACAATGGCTGCTTGTTTATATCATGCTTCTTTTGTTTTTGTTTTTTGCGCACACATAAAAGCTTTTTGCCACAAGTCACAACACACAAACTGCCAGCTTGCAATCCTCGTGAATGTCTTTAATGTAGGAATTTTATATTGGAAATCGCACAGTGTCCGCTTAATAACTTTTTATGAAAAAAAAAAAAAACCATGCTCGTCTTTGATTGCTTCTAATCACATTTATTAAGATTCACGCTGTTTATATTGTACTTTAGATATGTGTAGCTTTTTTTCTTTAATGAACGGCAAATGCACTGGATGGAGGCTAGCTGCAAACTGAATACTGGTTCGGAAAAAATCTCATTCATTAAAAATCGCGGTATTTGTGTATCTGTCGGCTGCCACGTGCGGATATGTTGCGAGAGCAGCAAGATAACGTGCCCTTGCTCAAAGATAGCAAGGGAGCTTACAACTGTCCTTGTAGCTAGGCCTGGACATGCCATGAAGTGTGGTGTTCCAGTGTGGAAGCTGGTGTGATGCAGAGCAAGCAAAGCAGATTGCAAACAAACTTGAGGGCCGCACAGTAGTAAATCACAGCGGATTATCTTCGAGTGCTGATAGGCACAGATAATGAAACAAGAACTCATTGGTGACCTCGCTGCAGAAGCGGGTCCTGGTTGCTTTTTTTTTTTGTCAGCTGATTTTTTTCAAGTAGCCCTTAAATGGCTTGTTCCTGGTGCAATGATTTTTTGTACTTTAGTGCTCGAACGCGGTTTGTGATAAGATGCCAAGTTAAACAAACATTCCAGTGCTTAAACACTGCAGTTGTGGTATTTCAGCTGGGAATGCTTGAGGAACTTCAATGTGGAAGCTGCCATATGAACAAATGGAAAGGTGGCCATCGATGGAGAACCTCAAAGATCTTTTTTCTTTTTCTTTTAAAAAATTTAATGATAAAACTTGCCACTCGGAAAGAGAACTATTGATTTAGTTTTGATAGGGGAAAGCATTGATTTTTATTCGGGGAACCACATGGTGTAAATTTCGTCTCAATGTAGAGTTAAGTGAATATTTTTATAAATTGGTTATATTTTTTTTTTCTCTCATGACATTTATAAACTTCAGTGGTTTGAAAATATTTTCACCACAAATATCTACTGTAGAGTAAGTACTCACTACTAAGATATTCTGACATAGCACCATACAGGGGCAGAAATGCAAACATAGTGTACTTTCCATTTATTTTACATGTTCATAAAACATTTGCTTTGATATATTAACCAAATTTGTTTTCACGCAATAAGCTATACTTTCAAAATGAATTTTCCTACGAACGTCACTCAGATGACAGTCTACAAAGTTCAGAAGGCTCCCACATAACAAAATTTTTTTGTCCTCAAGATATTCTAGCAGTTCTAGTTAATCAGCACACTTCTTTTTCGAGTGCATTTGGAAGACTGCCATTATGGCTGGGACGTATGGCGTGGGACGACCCACTTGCGATAGCTGAATCCTCACATAGCAGCAAGAGAACGGCCGTGTGGTCAAAATAAACCAGCAGTCTTGCAATTTAAGGGACAGGCGTAGCTGTGGCTGCTTCAGTCCACACTCCTACACCACTGTGTCATCAGTCTGCGTGCTATCACCATCGCAAGACAGATAACTGAAAGGGGTCATTGAAGATATTGCCTCTTGCGAGATTGCACCTGCATATACCTGCGCAATTTTTCGCTGCGCTTTTTTTTTATCGGCGCTATTGTGGTACACTCTACAAAGCTTGTCCGGTGGCTCCAGAAGCCTGCAGAAAAGGAGGTCATGTTTTTTTACTGCACTCCAAGGCAGAGCTTGAAAAGTGACCAGGTATTCTGGTATATTGCCCAGGTTTGGGGCGTTTTTATTTACTGCAAGTGAAGATTCTGTGCAAGAAGTGCAAGGCTTTTACCAGAAAATAAAGTTGCACCAAACTGGCCTGTAATTTTTTGTATAATAAAAGAAAATGAGTATCAAAATTGTAGGCAGCATTCGTCTAGGGTGTGATGGGGAACTCGTTTGGCAAGCGAAGAAAATCACCGAACAAAATGTACACTCTCCCACTGAAAAAACACAAAACAACAGCATCGCTTGACACTTGGGCACCCCAATCCCACACAGGTGTCGGGATGTCCATGGTTGGTAAGGGTTACCTTTCGTCCAGCAATCATCTGGCATTGACTGTGCAAGGTGATGCAAGAGCGTTCACATGTTTGCCGTTGAACTCGCATGCACGTATTTGTTTCACAAATTTCTTTTTGGCAACTATTGGCTGTAACTTTGTCTATGAGGCACGATTGGGCAGCAGTCAATACTTAATAACACATTTAAACATTTTATGTTATTATATACCCCTAGCAAATGCTAAATCTTTACACCATCTAACCTTGTTCCGGCTATTAGGGAGGAGCCATCTTTCTAGTGATTTATTCATTATAGATTCTTAAACCATTTTAAAATATATTACTAGCCAGAATAATACAGGGACAAAAAATGGTGCACACAGAATGAGTACTGGTGACTTCAAATGAGTTTTTACTTCAGTAACATGACATATCAAGTGATACCAATGACAAAAAGCATCTAAACAGGAGCATCACCGTGATAATGTATTATTGTGGTGATGTCACCGCAGGTCATATGTATTCCAGTTAAAACCAACTAGCCCAACTTTCAGCTTTAACATGAAGCTGTTTGTTTAGCAGAATTCGACATGTGAATGTAGGAAATGGAACTGTGAATACATGCCCTCATAATCGTGTGAGGATGTCATTACATACGGGAAGTATGTAACGAGGAGATGCCAAGCGAATGTCGACGGTTTGTGTGTTGCTTCCACTGTGACTAGCACTATTGACCACCTCCAGAGAGCAGTGGCTTGGCGCTGACTAGGCACTCTGCATTTGCAGGTTTGATTCCTCACCTGGGAACAACTGCAGTGTTTCTCGGGGTGTATATTTAAAGTGATTAGTTCGATAACAGAGCCAACCAAGTCAAAAAGGGCAGGGATGGCTGAGAAAATGCGCTTGCACCTATTCAACTCCAGAAACCACAAGAAGTTGTTTTATGTAAAAACTGCTTATGAAGTGCACATGTTGCACTTAAGCAAGGGCCAAAATTGTTGCACTTCTCCTTACCTGCACTGCTTCACACTTTACGCTTGAAGACTGCAGACCTACAAAGTCATCTCCCTGTACCGTCCCTGCGCAGATGTGCCAACAGACTGGTCGGACCACGCCCTCTGGTGGCCCGAGCAGAACACTTGGCTCACAAGGACAAAGTCCACACTCGACCAGTGTGGCGTCATGGCCGACGCACTGCTCCACTTCACGCCCATGCACAAGACGTTGCGCATCCAGTTTCCCGACCTGCGCATCATGGACGTCCGGACGGATTTCTCCGTCAAGACATTCTCGGCCGTCGTCAAAGTCTGCAAAGAGCTAGGTGTGTATCCCTTTGGGCTGACATTATGACGTTAAGTTATCGTAAGACAATTTTATATTTTGTTAATCACCAATGTATTTGTCGCATATTGATCCAGGTCATCACGGCTTCATCTGAAGTAGTTCATCATGGAAATGATTGTGGACATGTTTACAGTAACCCCACGCATGCGCAGTGATACCTTGACTATCGACACTGTCTAATACCCGTGTCACACTGGCCACCACCGAACTCTGTTAAACTCCGTCAACGTAAAGCTCCGCTAGGTAGTTCGACAGGAGATGGAGTTGTATCAGTGTCACACGGCGATAAGGTTACAATAGTTGCCGCGAGGGGGCTCAGCCGGCACTGTTTCAGTTTCACAAAAGCATCCCAATTTCATCTTTAGGTGCCTTGTTGTGAATCTTCGTTATGCGGTTTTTACGAAAACATAATAATAAGTACGTCTGAATGCAACAATGTATTAGAAATTCGTTCAAGTGGAACCACATTCACTAATTGTAGCAATGCTGGCAGCGACGCTAGCCACCTTGTGCCTAACGCTATGTTTGTTTACAATTGCGCTGTGTTCGGCGACTAGTTGGTTTTCTAGCCCGTGTACCGAAGTTCTTGTGTTTCCTTCCCTCGTGAGCGCATCCCAAGTTACCCTTGAATTAGGTCTGGTCCCATTACCCATTTCCTGCAGTTGTCGAAGCAGGTGACAATGATGCAGCACTGTCAGTCATTCCTCTGGCGGGCACACGCAAACACGGTGACAACAAGAACCGCACGCATGGACGATGCCGTCCACACCGCGCCAAATAAACACACGTTATGAATGACTACTGCAACAAAAAAATGTTTAATATAGCCAAAATGTATTTATTGTGGTCACTGCGGCAATTTAGTGCTCGAAATTTTTTTCTGACCTACCAATATTGTTAACGAGAGTACCTCGTTTCACTGCAAAGGAAGATCGTCGAACGTCCTTTGCGAAATGCTTCGTTTACCTTCGTTTGCTTAAGGGTTGCCGTGTGATACAGACCACATCTCCCTTGTCGTAAGGATGAAGGAGCTAAACGGCGTTCGCCGGTGCCCGTGTGACAGGGGTATAACCTCGTTAATTAGCTCAGTTTCCTTTTGACTGAGCGCTATCCATAATGTTCTTTTTTGAGTTTTTCTGTTTTTGCATTTACATATGTACCATGCTGCCAAGGTCTTTTATAAGATTGCAGTACGTACAAATAAATATCAAGAAAATTCTAACTGAGTATCTTCATTAATTTCTGCCTTGAATTTTACTCATTATGCAGGCATCCGGCACCCTGAGGAACTGTCCTTCTGTCGACCGTTAGTGAACGAGCACCTCAAGCGCAACTATCGCGCCATTGGCTGCAGCCCTCGCCAGCGCCCTAAAGAGGGCACCGACAGCATCCAGTTCAACCGCTCAAAGGCCAACGACAGCAACGGCACACTCGACGGAGCTCTCGGATCGCCGCACAACTCGGTCAGACGCCTTGCACTACACTTCCGCCTGGGTTAGATTCCTCATAGGAGCTGGACTTTCGTAAATCTTCTCGGGAGTAACAAAATGTTTTGATAAGGTCAGAGGTGGTACTGAGGACAGACATACCAAAGTAGTGCAGTGTGTGGTCATGTGTCCAGGCAGCCAGCCCGGTCAAACTAGGTAAATGTAGCCAACAAAATAATGATATCTGCAGTATTACATGTGTCAAAACCATCATATGGTTATGAGGCACATCGCAATAGATGGCTCTGGAAAGCTGGACCACCTGGTGTTCTTTTACGGTGCACTGAAATTGCATGTACGGTGCACTGAAATTGCACCGTACATGGACCACCGGCATTTTTGCTTCCATCGAAATGCGACCTGCCACAACTGTGATAAAGCACCCAACTTTCAAGTCAGCAGCCGAGCGCCCTAACCGCTGTACCACCAATGTGGACTGTAGCATATGAAATGCTCATGCATTTAAATGACTGGTTAATGCTTCCAGACAGACAGATGATAATGGGCATGGCATCTAGGGAAAATAGCTGTGTATTTTAAGATTTTCATTAACGCTGTCAGAGAGATGTACACTCAAACCTGATGCAACGAAATATCCGTTATGGAAAAGTAAACAAAAAATAGCATCGCAATAGATATAGGGTCAGGAATATACCCTTATAAAGATTTTTCGGATATAACGAACTTATTTTTGTGCAAGATGTAACTATTTATTACGAGGTTTCAGTGTGTTAAAGCACGGCATGGTGGTGTGGTCATGGTATTGAGGCGTGACAGCCAGCCTGGCAAAAACAGCAGACATAAATAATGAAACGCTCGCTCATTAAAAGCTTGCCCACTAGAGGGATTTGCTAGCGTAACCAGCATCATTGCAATCTCCTACGTGCGGTCTTGTTCTGTGTCGTGTTCGCATGCCTTTCCTTTGTGCACAGTTGCTCACACACGCATATCTTGTGTCCACAGTCGGTGACACACTGGAACACGTCCAGCTTCAACAACGGCATCCCACCGGGCCTGAACGGGAGCTACCTGACTCCGGACAGCAGCTTCAGCTCCCAGTACGAACTGCCCCTCGCCCAGAGCCCCAACAAGCCACCGCAGGACATCAAGGCAGCCCTGCTCAGGCCCAAGACTCTCGTCGAGAGGGCACGCCTCAATGCGGGGTGAGTCTTGCAACTTGCGTGGTCACTTTTTGATGCACACATTGCTTACCCTCAAACCTCGATGCAACGAACCAGGGTGTAATGAAAGATTGGCTGTAATGAAAGAAATGAAGAAGCGCTCTTGCAATAATTATTGTGTTAGGAATATACTCCTATAATGAATTTTACAAACTTATTTTTATGTAAGGTGCAACTTCATTATAATGAAGTTTTGAGTTGGTTTACGTTCCGCCTCTACCACTTCCCCTGAATGATCAAGTGTAGCCACGGCGGTAAGTTGGATGATATGGTTGAAGTTGGTTAAAGTTCGTTTATCGTGAGACAGCACATTAATAAGCATTGATTAATGCTCAGTTTCATCACAATTTAATTTGTCGCATTTCTCACACATCAGCACGACCAGAAGGCCATGGTGTACACTGGTCCTAGCACCTCACTTAATCGCTTAGTGTGTAGCAGGGACTGACGGTGTGTACAAGTGGCAAGGTAAGGTTAGGCTAGCGAGCTTATGACTAACAATTACTGGAATGATACGTTGAAGAGGAGCAATAGCAAGGCTTCATCTCAGTCCTGAAAGATGTTCCACGAATTATGTAGTCTTACACTCACAAAAGTTTAGTGCTTAATTTTTGATTAAAATGGAGGCTTATGTGTAGGCAAATATCATTGGCTGTTTCGTTTCTTTCATGTTTATGGTTGGAACTAGAAATAGCACAGAACTTACGAACGTGTCTTCACTAGCGATCAGTAATGAAAACAAGGTATTTTGTGTGAAAGAAATCAAAACAAAAGAAAAATGCTAGAACCAAGAATATGGCGCAGTGCTCACAAGCGACTTTAGTTGCAGTATCAAAAAGCAAAGCATGGCAACGCTTTCTCAGTTTTTCTCTCACTTTTTTACTTCTGACGAAGCCGTTATTATACTTCATGTAATGCACTTACGCATGGTCGCTTCTGTTACTCTAGTTGGCTTACAAACACATTTCATGTCCGTCTAAAAAAAAAAAGTGTTTTGCCAGCGGAATCGGTGCTGAGGTTCGGCTAAAGTCCTTCAAGCGAGCAGGCAAGTCTGGGCATGAACGATGTGCCCAATGACCCCATTGCTTTTCTTTCTCCATTCGAAAAGCACCTCTACCGCTTCTTCATTGTATTTTTTTTCCTTTTTATCCCGCAAAAGCAAACAAGGGTGCGTCCTCTACACAGGAAGTGAGTGCCAGCTTTAAAGCTGTCTTCAGTCATTCTTCTCAACTGATTTATGTGCTGCAAATAACGCAAATGACAGCAGCGATGATGGCTGCGTGCGGCATTTCGGCACTCCCGCTGCCGACACTTCGGCGGAGGGTGTTCGCGCACTGGGCCAGAGACCGCGGGCGGCGGGGGTTTAAAGATGTAAGACACGCAAACAGGCAAACGAACAGAAAGCTCTCTGCGTGCCAACACACAAAGCGTGACCCCTTCCCTTGGAATTGGATCGAGGCCAGCTGGCATGGTTGGCGTGAAAACAAAGAACAGAACGGGAGCGGACGTTTAAAAGAAATACAGAAGAAAAAAATGCCGCATTGAGCTTTGGGCAGGTCTGCTGTCCTGGCACCTTTTCCTTTCGCTCTACTTTTCGAGAGTTTACGGTGTCGTGGCAACGATTTAAATGCAATATTTATTTAGCTGAGTTTGACCTGTTGGAAGCATGTTGGTTTTCATGCATCAGTGGCCAGAAAGGGCCAAGGCTTAACGAGAAAGCACTGGGTTCGTGCCCCTTTGTGATAAAGAGTAAGGCTGGTGCCCTCTTCTGGCAGGCCTGCAAAGTAAGCAGTGCTTGACTATAAGCTGGTCAAGGTGACGTGCTCGTAGTTTTTACTCGAAACGAGTCAACAGGCTTGACTCCTTGGCTAAGCCTCCAAAGGTGCATCATTCATTTTGCACATATTGACATTGTTAAGAGTATGTACTGCAGTGTAAAAGTACCGAAAGCGCAGTGATTCATATTGTGCACAGATCAAAGTAACTGTGAGCATAATATTGAGAGAATAGGTGGAAAGCACAGTTGCAAGTACATCCTAACCTCAACATAACAAACAAGTATGTAATGAAGTATCAGTTACATTGAAGTGAATGAAGGATAGTCTTGCAATAGATAGCGTTAAAAATTACCTCTGTATGACAAACTTAATTTCGTGTAGGATGCAACTTTGTTGTAATGAGGTTTGAGTGTAGTTGAAAGTTGGACACTGACCATAAAATTTAGAGAAAGGAGAAGTATCTTGGCTCCTGTGCAGGAGTGGCCTTCTCTCTTTGAGAGACTGAACAACAAAAGCTCCGATGCGCGCTACATTTCGGGCTGATCGAAATTTCACACCCAGAACAGCCACCATGTGAAAATTGTTGCGGAATTCCCCTTTACAACATCACTGAATCTGTATGCTTGAGGCATAGTTGAATCAAAGCGAGTTGAAGTTGACCACTTAATTTTTTTTTTCATCCTTTTACACACATACACACACACCCACACACACAGTTAAACCCCTTTAGGCATGCTGCAGGAGGCACTTGTCTTTTATATGAGATGTCTCTTATAAGGAGGCTATCAGGTGTGCATTTTCTCATCGACCACTATTACTGAGTAGGCACACTGGCGTCTTATACACGTTTGTTTCCTATATCAGTGTTTCTTATAAAAAGGATTGACTGTATCTATGTGAGATATTGTCAAGTAAAAATAAAAAGATTGCAGAGGCCCTTGCCCTATCGGGAAAAATAGGGCAAGCAAGGCTTCGCACGATCACTGCCAGGCCTACTACTTGTCTTTCTTTCTCTCGCATTTCGCGATGCTCCCTCCAAACTTTTTTGTTGATGCAAGGAGTGGGGACCTTCATTCACGCACTTAGCAACACAACACTTGTGTTGCTACAGGCAACGACGACGGGGATGCGTGAAACAGTAAGATGAGGCAACGTGAAATGACAAGCGACCTCAATAAGAGAGCAAATTTCCCACCCGGCCGCTCGCTGACAAGCTCACGTCCAAGAGAGCATGAATTATTGCAAAACGACGCACACAAATAAACGTGTGACTGGCACAACTTCGAGCTTTGCATTCTGAATGCTCGTCGGTGCTGGGTTTACACTGTGCAATACAGTCCACTGTTACAGGGAGCACACTAAAGAACACCATCATCATTGCTGTCCCTCTAACACAATGTGGATAAGGAAACATTGTTCATGAACGTAACTAGTGTGTCAAGAGCTGTCAGCAACCAATAGTCTTATGCAAATCTAAGCCCCTATGCTTCTCTGAGATAGGTAGAGCCAAACATGTGCATGGAGCTGTTCACTTTCAAAGAGGACCCGTCTGTACATCGATGCCACCATTCAAATCTGCAACTCGCAGCAAGCTTCACTTGGAATACATTTCAGCTATTGTGAAAGCACTGTCACGTCCTCGGTGTTCTGGACTCTCTTAGACAACGCTCTTCGCCTGTCGCATTGCAGGTGGCTTGACTCGTCGCTGTCGCTCATGGAGCAGGACGTGCGGGAGTTCGACCTGCTGCAGCTGCGCTACAAGTTCTACTCGTTCTACGACCTGAACCCGCGCAAGGACGCCGTGCGCATCAACCAGATTTACGAGCAGGCGCGCTGGGCCCTGCTCACTGAGGAGATAGACTGCACCGAAGAGGAGATGATGCTCTTTGCTGCGCTCCAGGTGGGCGGGTGCTGGCTGTTAGCTGGTCTGTCCCTTTGTGTCTGTATTATCAGTGTCAAATGAAACCTGAACAGCGGCAGTGACTTTGTGTATGCAACTTGTGTAAGGGCACGCCCTTTCGTTTCATCTTCAGTTCATGTCACATGGGCGTAATTTTGGCTCTAGCACTTGTGTCAGAAGCAACAATACCTTTAGTGCCAGGTTAGCCACAACATGACACTGACACAGTTACAATTAACACTTGCTCGTTGCACTTGTTACACTAAAGAAGAATGCTATCTCGTTTCAGTATACGAGTACTATACATATGACTGGCACAATGCGTCTATGGGGGTGAAGCAGTAACAAAGGTATGGAAGTATGAAGAGTGTTGCTTGAAATAAGGCGCGTTTTTTTCTGGTCACTTCGACATCTACACAGCATCACATGGCCACTAGATTGAAATGTGGGTGGATTTCAGTACGTACAAATCAAATGCAGACACTGATGTATTACAGTACTTTAGCTGCTGGCCACGAGCTCCTTCTCTGTCACCACAGCAAGAGACAGAGATGTTGTGTTCCAATCCAACTCGCAAGCCTTCAAGGTGTGCAGCGAGTCATTGTCACTACATAACAGACCATCCCTCATGTAAAACCCCAAGCTGGGGTATTTTTTGGTATAATAATAAATAAAATAAATAGATAAACAGCGTGTCCTGTAAGGCCCACGTTATGTCCCTCATTATGCTTAAATGGTGGAGCGTCAGGCACATGGTCGGGAAGTTTTGGGTTCGGTCTCTACTTGTGGCGAGTTGTCTTTTCTGCCACTTCAATTTCCTTAATTTATCAACAGGTACACTACAGTGAAAGATGTCTTCATTAAGCGGCATTACGTCAACGAAACACCGTAGTTCAAGCAGAATAGATCAACAGTCAGCTTGGCTGTGTATTCGACACGCTGAGAAACGGAAATGCGATGCTTGACACGACCTCGTCACACTTTCACGCAGCTCCAAGTGAATCTGCAGGCCAACAGTAGCCAGCCGGACTTCTCGCAAGGCGAAGACGACATCGACGCCGCCCTGACCGACCTCCAGGTGACCCTGGAGGGCAGCGCCATATCAAGCGAGACCTCAAACATCACACAAGTGCCTGAGCTGCACAGCTATCTGCGGTTCCTCAAGTAAGTCGCACACCCCTGCCTCCTCCCCGTGGCCAGGCCACATTGATGCCAGGATTCACAAAAAATTCAGTGATGTTGTGCATTGCTTTAGCATCATTACGTTTATGCATGCAAACCATACTGTTCAACAGTAACTGTGGTTTCGCTATTCTGAGTAGAGTTTCGCTAAGACTGAAGATGCAAGATGGTGACAGAACCACAGGCAGGTGACTTACATCATAGTAGTGTATCTCGTTCTATCACCGTTCCATGTCTAGCGCTGTTTGTTACCGTCTTAATGATGTGCCAACAAGCCCATTTAGGTGCACTCCTGGCGAGTTTGTCTGAGCCAGCCCCAACCAGCCTTTTCTACCAATTTGATGCATATGTTACTGCTTTTGAAGTTATCAGTTTGTGCACTTTTGTTTGAAAAAGGTAGCACTATAACAGTATGAGTGAGTCTTTATACACACACTTCACTTGTAACTGCCCTAGGAGAGCATTTTCATCTTCATGCAAACTGACTGCAACGTTTATGCTGTGCAGGCCCAAGCGATTCACGTTGAAGGGCTTCAAGCGCATGTTCTTCATCTTCAAGGAGACGCGCATGTGCATCTACAAGTCGAGGGAGGAGTACGAAGGTGGCGGAAGCCCCTCATACGTCATCAACCTCAAAGGTGGGCCACTTTTTCGACTTCACGCCCTCATACGCGAACTATTTCTTTGTCATACAAGACGTGAACTATGACACGCACCAGCGAGTTCATGTACTTGTAAAGAGCATTCATGTTGATGCCCAAAAATAATAGACGCACAGGCCATTATCTGCTGTGTTTTTGTTTTGTTTTTTAGTGTATTTCTAGAGCCCTGTCTGCTTAATGTGTTGCAACACTCTCAACACTGTTGACATTCTAAACGCACATCAGAATTTGATGACTGTGCAAACTTCTACATACTGGCCACACATGAAAGCATCAAGTTTGAGCACCAAACTGGCTTTGATGTTTTACCTTCCTGTGTTTCATTAGTGGTCGTGGGCAGCATGATGGAACATGTCATATTAGAACGAAGGTAGGCACATTTGATGTAGGGTTTCGTATGATGAGTAGCTTCTTTGAGTGAGCCAATACGTACAACTCTTCCTGTTGTTTTGCACAGGTTCCGAAGTCACGCCTGATGTGTACCTCGCCCAAGGCAAGTACGGGATTCGCCTGGAAGTGCCCGGCCCCGAAGGAATGACCGAGTACTGGCTCCGCTGTGAAACGGTAGGCACCAAGCATCTCACCTTGGGTGTCGGCACAAATATTGAAATTTAGAAAACCTGTGGACGAACTCTCAACAGTGTTGCTTGGGGCCTCCGTAAAGGTATAGTGTTCGAGCCCAACAACCCAAAATACACGAGTTCGAACATAGCCTCAGTAGCTGGATATCTAAGGAAGCAGAATGCTAGAGGTTTACGTACTGTGTGACGTCAGTGCATGCTAAAGAACCCCAGGTGGTTGAATTTATCCGGAGCCATTCACTACAGACTCTTATATCCTAAGTCGCTTTGGGATCTTAAACTCGACAAACCAACCAACTAGAGTTGCTTGTCTGTGCCGAGCGCTATATATTGTCGTTTCATGCAATACACAATGTGCACATGTTTTACTTGCACTTCTCATCGTCCAACAGAGCTGCCGCTAGTTTTGTGAAAACTTTTCTCGATCTCGTGTTGCAATAGATTCGGGATAATAACTATTAAGGCTTTATGTCCTGAAAACCACTACATTGTTATCAGGGTTGCTGTTAGCTCTCGAAATTTCTACCACGTTGGGTTGTTGGAAAGTGCACCTAAATGTGGACACTCTGACCTCTACCGCTTTGACTTCCACTAAAACGTGGTTGTTGCAGCCGGGATTCAATCTTGCGATTTTCGGGTCAGCGGTCGAGCATCGCAACCGCTAAACCGCCGTAGTGGGTCACTTGCTTAAGATCGATATCTAAGAAAGAGGTTTCAGCCACATTCTAATAAGTACTGACGCTTCCGCTGTAAATCGTGCGTCCTTCATGCTCGGACACAGGAGGACCAGTACGCCCAGTGGATGGCCGGCTGTCGACTGGCGGCCAAGGGCAAGACCATGGCGGACGCCTCGTACGAGGCCGAGGTGCACTCCATCCAGCAGTTCCTGCAGCTGCAGAGGCCCGCACCTGCCCCAGCACTGGTGCCCTCTCAGCTTGACATCGACGTTGAGGACTTTGTTGCGCCCCGCTTCATCAAGAAACTCAAGAGCAAACAGGTGGGCATTTACCTCCGGGAACGGGGCAGAGAAGGCATGAGCAAAATGACACATTGCACTGACTAACAACACTTAGTGTATTGCTAGTCTGTGCTGCATATCACAATTATATATAATTTCATTACTGTTTGTTTTAACGTATGTGGCTGATAACGAAAAAGCTGGAGAAAATGTTAAAAACCACACATCATGCACTAGAACGAAAACGACATGCTCTACAATAACTGATCAGAATGCCACAGAATGGGTCAGGGAACAAATAGCTTGTGGATGTTTTATTCTAGTTGACATTAGAAAAAGGAATAAAGCATGAAACAGAGCAATGGAATGGTTACTATGGGATGGGAGGCACAGCAAAGGATAGTCGCAAGTTTGATGGAATGACGGAATCAAGAACTTCACATGGATAAAATGAAATCACTTGGCACGAGATAGGCTAAATCGAATGTGATTGGGAGAGGCCTTCATTCTGCAGTGGACATAAGATGGGCTGATAATGATAAGGACCCTTTCACTTACACTATTATCCATGAGAGGAATACTGCTGTAATTTTTGAAAATATTGAGAAGTATTATAGCAGATTGCTGTTGTTTCACGCAGGCCATTGTTCAAAGGATTGTCGAAGCGCATGGGAACGTCAAGGACCTCAGCCTCGTAGATGCCAAGATGAACTTCATCAAGGCCTGGCAAGCGCTACCCGAGTTTGGCATCTCACTCTTCGTTGTGCGCTTCAGCGGCAGCAAGAAAGAGGCAAGTCTTTCATGCTCACCTACCTGGCTTTGCCAAACCCTCATAAAAAGATGCACAGTGGAGTATGCTGCCATGGAAAGCTTGAACACTACCTTCTAACTCATGGAACACTAAAAATAAAGTCTTTTTGTGTTAGTAAATTACCCGTTCACAATACCAAAGTCACCATTCTTGCTGCAATATGCTTGGTAAGGGGAAAACGCACGAGAAAAAAAATACAAGTTGAACGTCGGCGTTTGTGAATACCGTATTTACTCGATTCTACTGCGCCCTCGATTGTAACGCGCACCCGATTTCCACCGCGAAAAAAAAAAAAAAAAACGTAAGACATCGATTGCAACGCGCACCCATTTTTCTCGCTGGCCTGCACGATCACACCACTCGAAAAAACGACTCCTTTCGGGAGCGTCTTCCATTTAAATATGAGGTACGGGCGAAGCTTGTGCCCATCTGACGTGTAACAGAGCATTGCCGTCACTGTAGTTTTACCGTGGACCGATGTCAGCACGCGAACTTGCTTCGCCCCCTTCTTCTTGACGGTTGTGGTGCCAGGCATGTCGAAGTAAAGAGGCGTCTGATCGGCATTCCCGATTTGCCCAAGCAGGTAGCCGTTGTTGCGCCGCAAGTTTAGGACGAACCTCTGAAAACTGTGAAGCTTCTCATCGTACTCCTCCGCAAAACTTTTCGCACATGCCTGTTCCCCTTCGGAGGTAAAAGCCTTTCCTTTTCATGAAGTTAGTTAGCCAGCACCTGCTCGCTTTAAACTGGCTCCGCATTAGACCGTTTTCTAAGACTAATTGCATAGCCCGCACTTGGAGCAGTTCTGTCGTCACGGGCCGCTGTGCCGCTCGCTGCTCAAGCACATACTCGCCGAGCAGCTCTTTAATTTGCGGAAACCGACCCTGCTGTGGTCCACTGAAGCCTTTGCGTGAAGCTTTGCTGTCGACAATCTTCTGCTTTTGTTTCCGCCGGTCCCGCAGGCACGTTTCGGGAACACCGAACGACCGTGATGCGGCCCGATTTCCGTCCGTTTCTGCACACGCGATGACTTTTCTTTTAAAAGCGGCATCGTGGTGCACTCGAGTTTTTGGAGTCGGCCCTTTAACGCCGTCGATGCTAATGCACTACTAGATGACGAACTCCTCAGCACACGTACGAAGTGCCGCACATGAGAAACACATAGGCAGAAATGGCCGACGCGCCATGCCGACGCACATAGGGGGCGACCATTTTGGATTTGCCGATGGCAATAGATTGACCGCAATTTTTTGGTTCGTACTCGATTCTAACACGCATGCGATTTATGAACTCGCTTAACCGGAAAAAAGGTGCGCGTTAGATTCGAGTAATTACGGTATCATAAATTCTGACAGTCTGTGACGGGGCCTGTATAATGGTTCATCGGTTGAGGGTGAATTGCATAGTTTTTCAATGGAGCCAAAGACTGAATGTGGTATGTTCCAAGAACTTCTCTTGGGCCAATGTAGAAAAAGCAGTTTGAATGCGTAATGTCACAATTGTGTACCGTCATTGGGGTTTTGGTGTGAAATCAAAAAAAAAGCTGGCTCTGAACAACTTCTTCAATTTCCCTTGAAAGAATGAACTCAGGATTATGAAACCAATGATAATCAATGAGCAAATTATTGATAGAAACAGATTTATCGTTCTGCTTCAGTGTCCCTCTAACTCGACTCTGCCTAATGGTGTTCCATTGCGATGCCTCCTCGTAGGAACTGCTGGGCGTGGCCTTCAACCGGCTGATGCGCATGGAGCTTTCAACGGGCGACCACATCAAGACGTGGCGCTTCAACACCATGATGGCCTGGAACGTCAACTGGGAGGTGAAGCAAATGAATGTCCAGTTCGAGGAAGACCAGCGCGTCGCCTTCTCCTGCCTCAGCGCCGACTGCAAGACGGTGCACGAGTTCATCGGCGGATACATCTTCCTCAGCATGCGCTCCAAAGACCAGAACCAGGCGCTCAATGAAGAGCTCTTCCACAAGCTCACCGGCGGATGGGTCTGAGCATTATGAGCTGGCGTGCTAGACAAACCGAAAGGGGCACTGATGCATTTAACTATCACCCCCCCCCCCCCCCTTTATTTTTTATGCCCTATAGGAAAGTCTGGGACCTCAAAACCGCAGAAAACAATACTGCTGAGCCTCAGGCCCTGAAAAATTTCATATAACAGCCTCTGTACAGCCAGTTTTACTTCAATTTCTAAATTCTGTATCGTGACTTCATGATACTAAAAGTGATCTTACGAAAGTGGCCCAATGTAGTGGTTTGACGTTTCTTGTCTACCGCGCTACTGCATCAGCTTTTACATTGAGTAGCAGCATGAAAGTGGCATTATTAAGGGAGCTGGAGAGATACCCAAATACTGCTACATTCTGCTCACGTGTGATCACATTCCGGATCGTAATGTCGCGACACAGTATAACACCAAAAACTTGAAGACTGGCTTTAGAAACGCAATTACATTGAGGTATTCGCAGCACATTGAGACCTCGTTGTAGCTGTCGTACAGTTTTGAGATCCCGTACTCTCATTTAACAAAGAGAAGGAAAGCAAGAAATATTGCATCAGTACTCCTTGAAGACGTGCATTCTTCGTCGACTTGTGGCAGCACACACAGGACCGGCATCGTCCACAGCAGGTCGCCACGGGCCCGAGACGGCGCAAGATGATTCTGCTGATTACATCAGAGACTTGTGCCAAGCTGGATTCGTTGTTTTCACGGTTGGTCAAGTTCAGTGGCATGTTGGACTTGGCGTTTCTTCTGTCGTGCTCGTTCAGTTGAAACGACGAGAGATTGGTGGGAGCTTGTTCAAGCCGGATGGACTTTCTTCATCTGCTCATGGAATGATAGGCCTGGTGACGGAGGTGCCAGCCGTCTCTTTGAAACTGTGCACTAGCAGTTCCTGGTTGTTGGTATATAGTTGATCATGAGCCTCTGCGAGGGAGATCACTCGTCGTTTTTCCTCTTCAAAAATGCTCAGTGGTACATATATGCGAAAACGTTACTACACTTATAAATCAATAAATGTGCTGCTTTGTCATGTGGCTACACGTACAAGTTTGAGAGCGGGCTTGTTCGTGACACCTTCTAAAGGAACTCGAAATAGTACTTTAGAAGAGGCTAATTCATTAGTGTTGACGTCGTACTAGATGCATACGTGGAGTTTGCCCCCGTTCGCAAGGCCAGCCAACTGTGTACCATACAATGCACTGTTAGGCACAGTTTTCTAACCACTTTTTTTATTTTTCTGCGAGAGCTTAGAACAATGCGCGGCATATCTTGGTGAAAGGCAACATTGAGCATGCCTTCTAGATCGCGCAGTAAGCTGCAGAAGCGCATTTTGCATCAACTGCAAGCTTCAACACACTGGCTGCCTACACAGATGATGCTTTCATCACCATCGACACATCACGAAATACCCCGACAATTTTTGCTTTTCATTTCATAGAATGTGTTTTCCTTTGTCTTCGTCAACACCTGTGAGTAACGAAATCGAGACTGTTGCAACACTACGACGTAGCAAACTCGTTAACTGTCTGCACACATGCAATTAATCTAGAGAAGATGACCCCGGACCTTTAAGGCACTGTGAGTGCGGTGAGCACGCCGCCACCGATCGGTTGTGATGTCATCACTTCATGTAGCAGCAGTTTTTTTATTGACGAGCGTGCCAAGTTTTTGGCTGAACAGCCCCTTCGAACTGTACAATAGTGACGCGAAAATCGTTGTTGCCAATGTAGTGCATTTATGGCGAATGTCTTTGTCGAAAAATTCCGCACACACACACAGTGCATGCAGTTTTTCTGAAGATGGTGTTATCCAGCTTGGGCGGCGAAGGCCAAGCTTTTCATTTTCTGTGGTGGAGATGCAGATTGCTGTTAAAGAATAAGCATTGGGCTGCAATGCTTGAAAATAGAAGTTGCTGTAGTAAAATTTGAGGCTTGTGAACAGCCTTTGAGCCTCATATTGATTCTCAGGGTGACTGTGTTTTTGTTTTGAATGCATATAAACATGAAAAATCGTGTTTGTTTTTGTTTCTTTTTTGAAAATCTCTGGACCATTTCCAGTTATTGCAGCTCACGATGTTAGCCATTTCCATTCAGCCTCCAAATTACGAACATGTGCAAAAACATACAACTATTAAAACAAATGTTAAGATAAAATCAAATTGTGTGGAAACTAGATGTTGACTTGACTTTTCTTTCATAGTACTATACATGCATACCCTTTATATATATATATATAGTATATATATACATATATATTAAAAAGGGCTACATTAAGCCCTGTAATTAGTCAGCCATAATAATGATTACAATGAACGTAGCAGAAGCTGCATTTCAGTGCTGCGTTTATCTGAATCGACGTCTACTTCACAAATAACTGTATTGTTTGTGATGTGCTTCTACGATAGCATAAGGTTTGTATACAATGGTTACCTTACAACATGTAAATACAAAAACTCTGCCTTTTTTTTTTTGGCGCTCTGACACGTCACCAATGTATTTTGCATGTTTTTTCTCGCATCTTCAACAAATTCTGCCTATGCCATCAAGTGCTTTTTTGCGCATTTATGCAAGCTTTGTAAAAATGTTTTTGTCAACAGAGTTGCTGCTGTAGCTTTTTAGGGCTACGGTCACAGTGCAATTATATTTATAGTTGATCAGCATTTGTGTATCGGGATGCTTGTTTAGCTGCGAGGCAAGAGTAGATTGCTGGCTACTTGCGGGACATGAGTTGTCGGTCCTTTTGTGATTGACTTTTCTCGGTTTTGACACTGACGTTTGTTACGCGAGGAGGCTCATTGAAATAACTGCTCGAGCCCGATGACGCTCGAGACTTGTTGATTTGACAGAAACTGCCGTGGTTGTTTGACCGGAAGTGGCACGGTTTTCCAGTAAAAAACTGCATTGTTTAGGGAGTGTCGTTTTTCGAGTCGTGAAATTTTTCGTGAAGTGCCTTGTGAGTGTTTTACATAATGTTACAGTGTAACCCACTTGAAACTTACTGTCATCTTCCTATTTAAGAGAATAAAGTTTTTTTTTCCCCATATCACTTCCGTCTATGATGTGTGCTTGACTTTTGCTGCCTTCACTAGGTCTGTGGCTACACTTAGCAAGCATTATAAAAGTGGGAAATCATGCATTTGCAATGATATAGTTGCTATTGTTATCACCGCAAAAAATAATCTGACTGTGAAAATACTCTTAGACTGGTGAAAAATGGTTTGTTTGTGGGAAGAATTTGTAATTTCCCCGTAATAGGCAATTTAGCTTGATCAACAAGACATCCTGCATCTGTTGACATGGCATAATATACCTTTCATCAGGCACATTATGTTTGTTTGATTTGACATGTAATCCTATGACTCTCTATACACATACATTCTATACATACATTCAATACAGGCAGCATACATATAGTACATTCCAAAACATTAAGGTGGTATCGGACAATTGTGCTTAGCAGCAAGAAGAAAAACACTAAATGTATAAGCACAGTTAAATGCAAATGTCTATGAATCTACCATAAAATTAGTAGAAAGGAGGAACGATTGATGAAGGCATTTGAATTGCTCACATTTCAACGTAGTCAATATTCAATGTGTGGAGGTTTAACAATTGTACATTCTTACATTTCATAGCCTGCTTATCGTAGTTTGTGTATTTTCCTGGTTTTTTGGGTATGACTTTAAAGCCATATCCTCCGGCGGATACAGTGCGTAGGAAAGCAACCTGTACTTTACGTTCACAATTGCATTGCATAAGCTCAAGGTTGGTTATAAACAAAAAACTGGTTTCTAGCCAGTCATGTTAGCAAATTTTATTGCGAGGTCTACCATGGCTCCACTGACACATTTCCGTCATGGATACGAAATTGTAAAATATCCACTAACAGATTGCAAAGAAAAAAAAAGACAAGAAGTAAACGCTGAATATTTGTGAAATGAATGATAATGAGTGGGCGAAGCAATTGGATCATTCGGTGTTACCACAAATAATCCGTGGCATTAACCACTCATGCATGTAAATGAGTGCCAAGCGGTGTGCTGTAATATACAATGTTTGTTGGCCATAACTGGTATGTTGTGTTGACTTTGAACGTGAATCCAAGGCAAATCTCGTTTTGCCTTGGATTATTACCGCTTTTTGATATCGGATCTAGCCGGCAGTTGGCAAAGACGAGGTCTTAGAATGTCCCTCTGGTGGTTGTTGGTTGTTTCCAGCCATACAAAATGCATCATAAAGTGTGCCAAGACGTCATGTACTGCACAAGCCAGTCGTTCATGATCATCGCCGTCATCATCTTCAGAAAGTGCATGGTCTGGAATGTGCTTGTTCTTCATCGTCAGCGGCGGCTACGATGCACAAGACCTTCGCCAATGGACAAGCCGTGACCTTAAAAAGCTTTGCCCCTAAAAGTTCTGCCGCTGGGCGTCGAACCTACGACCTCTCGCTCCGCAGCGCGAAACCACTAAGCTACGAAGCATAAATTGTCCAGCTAACTAACGGTGAGCTAGTTTCTCAGAGCTAAGCAATTTCATTGTGCTTTCCTAAAAATGGTGCGAAAGGCATGCGCCTCCACAGGGTGTGGTGACTCGTGCATGCGCACTTATCTCAAGATTTGAACACATTGTACCTCATGTGTTTCTACTGCAAGTTCGCTTTGAAATTACACTGGTTAAAAGGCGTACGAAGGTCACTTTGCTCGATGCTGCGTTTACGAAAAGACCGGGCTGCTCACACACGAAGAGGTAAGACTTGCAATAACAGAGATTTGAGATAGTTGGTGCATATTCATTTTAAAAAGACAGGGTGTGAGAGCACTGACACAGAAAAGAAGATGGGACACCACAAACGCCCTAAAAAAGGAAGACAGGACAACACAAATGCCCTGGCGTTTGTAATGTACTGTCTTCCTTTCTCTGTCAGTGTTCGCACACCCTGTCTTTGTTTAAAAAGAACTAAGAATTATGTTCGTGCTCATCCTGTGTACACTTGTGTGTTTGTCTGTGTTTGAGCAGTGCGCATTAAGTGCCTAACCGCGACAGTTGTATGTACGCGCTTGTACTTCTGTGCATTGAGTATTTTTTAAAGGGACACTGAAGTCGAATAACAATTTACGTCAGCGTGAAAGCTCAATGTGTAACGTCTAAAATGACGTTATCAATAGCAGTGCCCTACTTGCCGAGAAATTAATGTAAATGCGCAAAAATACATACGCCGCAACAGGACATTCGCAAAATGATCCCGATGACATCAGACACACCGCCTACAATTAATCACTAGCAATCGAACTAGCTACACTAAATAAAGAACCTTCAGTGCATCAAGAGGCGTAATAAAATGCAGCTTGCTCATTTCTGCGTGATTCATGAAAAAAAAAAGAACCGCTAAACGTATCTATGGGGAATGGCCAAGTAGTTCAAAATTTCAATTTTCGCCTTGTGGGAGTGGAGAGGTTGTGCCATCTAGCAGGGCCCAGTTGAACCAAGCACGTCTGTCATCGCAGAGGCTGTGGCAGGAAATCGTTCAATGGCCGTTGTTGCTGTTGTGGCTCCCGCTGCTTTCGTTCTGCTGCTACTGGTGTCGGCGGCCGCAGAGTAAAGCCGGTCAACGTGCACGAAACAGTGACGTGAGACGTCCTGCTTGAGGCAAGTAACTTGAAGTGCGCTAAACCGATGCGGACCACTAAAACGCAATTTTACTTCAAAATAATCACTTCTTTGGCAAAAAAGTAACACCACGAGTTTTCTGGACCGCTATTTCAGCAATCAACCTCGACTTAATACTTGCCTTTAGAGTCTATTTAAACCACAAATAATTCACTGCACCTCGGCACTTTCACAATGTAACTGAAATATGCCAATCTTTAAATGAAAAGACAAAAAAACAGTTATATGTAAAGAATCGACCATTCTTACTTTTAGTGTATACTAGAAATATTGAAGCACATGCAACTTGTAGAAGAAATGTCAGCACGCAAAATACATAGGCAGCCTACTGCGGCTGTTGTGAATTTCAGTGCTGCAGTTTACTGCAACCACTTTACTGCCATGCCACTCCGAAATGTTAAATGTTTCAGTGTCATAGTCCGGTGCAGCAGTAGTGGACAAGCTAAACATGCCACTGCGAAGCATCAAATCTTGCAATGGTTAGTTAAATTCTGACCTTGACAGCATTTGAATTTGCATACCTAACAAAAAGCAAAAGCAACTCCACTGTGACTCACTCAATGGCTCGTTTACTACGATGAACTTTCAGGCCGGATGAAGAGTTTGACTTCGCCACGCATGACCACCTGTGACAAACCAAAGGATAAAAAGCAGGCAAGCGTGTTTTTTATCTACGTACACCATTGACACTGCAATGAACAAAAGAAAATGAATTTTTAAAGGTGCTTGTTTCTTTGTTAGACATACCAAATACACCCAGTAGACAATTAGGCCAGGAATGAAATAGGGGATGCTAATTGTTGTCTTTAACAGTGGTGCAGTAATAATTACGTGAATTGAAACGAGTCAAGGTGGACGAAAAATCACGCTTTGCATCTGCGGATCCGAACCCACAACTTTTGAATGACCCGTCTGATACTGTACCTATCATGCTATGACAAACTGTGCTTCCTTATTCACTTTGTTGTGTATTTCTGTAAGTGAAATTCCTGGGAGTGCTTAGCAGCCAGAGCCGTTCATAGCCAAAATAGAGCACCGCAAACATGGTTTAAAGGTTGTGGGTTGAGATCACACTGACAAAAAGAGTGATTTTCCATCCACGTTTACACATCTCAACTGACGTCATTATTAGAACACTACAGTTAAATAGAGCAATTGAGGTCCCCTGTGCTTTAGCGGCCAAATTGTCTATTGGGTTCATTTGACTGTACTGACACAACGAGCACCACAAATGTTTCCAATCGGCGCTTTTGTAAAACTCACTTTGTCGGGGCCGGCTTTGCACTGATAGGTGCACTCGACGATGGACTTTCGGACGGACTTGACCTCCACTTGTGCCCGGACCGGCTCTCCTACAAGAACTGGAACAAGAACATGCAATTGACGTCCCGAGTTTCCGGTACTAAGCTGTAAAGTAACGGAAGTGGACCGAGGAGCACAGTTCTTTTGTTAGACACAGCCATAGCAAGCACACAATATTTCTAGTTTTTAATCATGGTATAGTAATCACAGGATAATTGTAAAGGAATCAGAGTACATGACGAAACGACTTGCCATTATCAGGGACTGAACCCAAAAGCTTCACATAGCACCATCAATATGTTACCCTGAGAGAGCAATGACACTGGCTGATAGTTTACAGTGCAAAAGTGTGGCAGAAGAGTATATAGATACTTTGGATCAAGGAAGAGGATAATAGATCATAAAAGAAATCGTCTAACAAGCCTGGCATTCCCATTACTTTGTGAATGCACTGTGAAAGGTTCAAGCAAACATGAGGCAAATTAAAATTCTCTACAATTATCACATGGCCATCAACTATATTATCAAACTCCGCAAAGTTTACTGAACTTTTGTATGAGCACCTGTACGCAGAAAAGGATTGAGTCGGCAGACTTAATTACAGTTTCGTGTTCTGTTTCTTAACTTACGTGGCTTGGGAAACTCCAGCACTTGATGAACAACAAGGCAGCCAGGGCCTGGGAGCTTCGTTCCAATAACGGCCGACACCAAGCTGCAAAAAATGAAAATCACACACAAGCATTAATTAGTAGCAATGTGTATTTTCCTTTATTGAAAAGAGCTGCACCAGCTCAAGACAGTTTTTTCAAACAATGCTGCAGAAAAAAGCGAGTGCCAAGTGAGGCCACATTTCAATGAAGGTGAAATGCTAGAGGCATTTTCGCGTAGATTTACGTGCAGGTTAAAGAACACTAGTTGGGCTTTAGAATGGTGAGGCACTTTGTTCCAGTACTTACTACGCATTGTCGCAGTAAATCTTCCACAATTGCTGTATATATTTGAGAATGCAAGAAATTGTTGCTAAATAGAAGTCTCCTACTGTTAGTGTTAACAGGAGCAGAAAAGATGTTGGTAACGTAGATTGGTTACTGAAGTGAACTGTTTACTTTTTCCTAATTGCTATACACTAAATGGTTATTTAATTAACAAAGATGGCAGGATATTCGGTTCATATTATGCCGAGATGCCTGTCTCTTCTAGTTCATTAGTGCGGCTACACATGAAGTTTTGTATACCCATTAATGAGATAAAGGTGCTCGGTGCATTGTTAGTGCGTGCCGAGTCCTTATTAAAGTGACACAAAATGAGGGCTATTTGGCCACAATTGATGAAGTGAGAAAACCAGCTTGTGGACGTGTACACAACAGGAAAAGACGATGTACACAGGCGGGAACTAGCATAATGTTTAATGAAACGACCACAGATCATATTCCCAGGAAAGCCATGCGCGTATGCATCGTACACAAAACGTGGGCGTTTCACAACGAAGAGAATTACATATCAGTAACCACATTTTTTCTGAATAAGTGACCACTTTTCATAACGATCGCGAAGGTTACACTAATTGCATTCGTTGAGACAACGTTTCCAGATTTGATGCACTTCGATCAATTCAAGATTGTATTACATGTTTCAGACCAGGAGGGCAGCCGGAGATCCAGCAGTGGGCAGGCGGATTTGCCCCTCCTCCTGACTTGATAGAGGTTTCGCGTTGCTTTAACCGGACATTTATGCATCATTCCGTAAACCGTGTGCGTGCGTGTGTGTGTGTGTTCTTGCTCGCGCGAAGTTTTACGCACCCGTTGATCAGTGCCCCGTGCACGACGCATGCCGGCAAGCCCTTGCGCTGCGCGCAAGCACCGTCCAGGTGGATGGGGTTGCGGTCTCCCGTGAGAGCGGCGAATTCCTCGACGTCTGAACGCGAGAACGTTCGCTCCATGCTTGCCGTGTCGCCCACGGAAAGCCGCCGACGACTGACGTGTGGGGCGACGAATGCGCTCCTCTTCGCAGCGATCCCCGCGACTCGTGCGAAAGCTATTCGCACCATCGTAGCAACGTCTGCTGAGCTGGGTGTACTTTCGCGACTTTTGCCGCTTTCAATCAGCTGAACGGTGCCGATAGAGAGATGAGCAGACACCGTAGGTAGAAGCTAGAAGCCTTATCTAGACAAATGATTGAACATGAAAAAAAGAAGATTGCGTTTAATAAGCAAGCGTTCTCCTTTTGGCTTTTTCTTTAACTTAAGAGTAATAAAATTATATAAATAAATATGAATATGCTTGCTAATGTTACAACTAACATATCTACATATTGCTTTTGAAACTAAAACACAAAAGTTTTGGTTTTGAATTTATTTAAAAAAGCGCTGTAATTGTTAGCTTACCACTGATAATAAGGGTAATATGCTAAGTCATTAAAATAATTTCATATTTAGCTTATTTTTAAGTTAGTATATTAACTCTTTGATTGCCCCCATTATGACTCGCACATTCGCGAATCGATGTCAAAAATTTAGTTGTCAGCCGATCCAATCCAATCCAAAAGCTAGTTTTTGTTTTGTTCAGTAAATTTGTACAAAACCTCGAAGCATATAAGTTTCAGTCATAGCGCTGCGCCTTGCTGCGCTTCGTGTTGCTTCTATTGTTTATAAACATGCCGCGGCTGTAACTCAACCGTTGTGGTTAATACAATACCGATCGTTCTCGGCCGCGCTTACTAAACGCTGATGACGTGAACTCATTATGATTGTTCATCTCGGTGTCGCAAACCAGAAACGACAAATTATCGTTCACCGTCAGTGTATCCTTTTTTTCACCTCGAATATTCAAAGATCGCATGACATACGAGTCGGGTTTTTGCAGAAAAAAAAAATCTGATTATCATATGCACAGAGCAAACGCTTTGACTCTTTGCCTGCAGATAGACATGACACGGGGGCAAGAAGTTTTCAGGAATGCGTCGATGTCGCGCTGGGGACCGGCGGACAATCCGTTGGACCTGGGCAGGTGCGTGTCTAAACATCACGCTTCTTGCTTAATACCTGAGTAGATTGGATCGGCTGATTGATGCTTATTCCACGGACCTTTTCGAAAGCTCCCAAATCATGCCAAAACAGTGAGACTGCTGCCTTTCATTGGTAGCCTAATTGTTAACGTGCAGCGCTACGAGGCCTTGAAAACGCGGCATCATTTTTATGCGAGTAAAATACCTTTGATCTGGGCGCGCGTTGAAGGACTCCAGGAGATCAAAATTGGCCCGGAGAAATTGCTGGTGGACAACATTTCATTATTCCTCGAGTGCCAGGGTTGCAACAACAGTCGCACTTTCGGTTGGTAGTGTCACGTGCGTATATACATGGCCGAGGAACTCTTGAAAAACAGTGTATGATCCTTAATCAAAGAACGGAAATTGGCACAGCTATCTCTTAAAAAAAAAAAAAAACCCTACATCATCACTTGTCTGAGAAAGTGACATATGAAATTCAAGCAAATAAAAGTTATGTTCGTGACACCTCTACCTTTTCAATGCGCATTCTCTTTTCAGAAGCTTGAGGATGTTTCCATTTACTACATTTGCCGCGACAATATCTACTATCTTCTCTGTTCAAAGAGGTCCTCATGGGGATACGTTGGCTTCAGATGTTACAGCTATTGAATTTTTAAATGAGTAAGTTTTGGTTGAAGTGTTGCTTGTACAACATACTTCTCTTCACAAACATCTGCATGTTGACCTGTTGGAGCTGACGTATGGCAATGTTGTCCAATTTGCTCATTTCAGATTGTACGTGTTGATCAAGAACTTTTGTGGAACCACTACTGAAGGAAGTCTCCGTAAAAATGCGCTGCTCATTGAGGAGATACTGTCCGAGATAGTTGTAAGTATATTTGGAAAGATCATCTTGGGTTTGCTGGCACCTCTAGAGACAGTAATGGCATTGACGAACACTTGTAGATGCATGTCTCGGAAAGACCACTTCAATTTGCAGCGTGTTGCACATTGTTCTTACTGGCAGAGCTCAAAGTGCTGAATGTGTGGCTTGCATCGGTGTCTTTATTACTAATTAAAATTTCCAGTTTGCTTAAACATGGCATTAAAGCATACGTCTTTATTGCCATCAACAAAATCACATAATTTAGTGTCGTGGCTAAGTAACATTTGTTCGCGTAGCCACCCCCATTGTGTGGGCAATATTTCATCGCACTGTCCTCATTCAAAATGCAATGTGCTTCACTTATGGACAAAAAATGAATTAACCCCAAGTGGATAATATGCTCATCAGAATGGCCCACCATTTGGTTGTAGCTTTCCGAGAGTAAAGACTAGAAATAAACAGTTATTGGAACTCAACACGATGGTTTTTCGGCCGCCAATATTTTCAAAAATGTGCAAGGCCATAACGTTGCTCATTTAACAATGACAAGATAGGTATGTGACTAATGAAATAAGGCAGACTCCCCAACCTCCTTTTAGGCGTCCAGATGGGGCAGCCACTTGGCTCTGACCTCCTTCCCCCCCTTTATGTGCTTGTGTATGGTTGTCGCTGTGTTACAATTTTTTTGATTCTGACTGATATAGTCAACTATTGAATAGTGTAGATTCAGCAGGTAAAGCATGGCTACTACGATGTTTATAGGAGCTTATGAACACTGTATTAATAGTTTAAATGTATCACTTATTTTCAGAATCGCGGCCACATTTACACCACAGATTTGTCTTCTCTCCGACCATGCATCTACAGCGAACCGGCTGATACACCGGCTTTAAAAAAGACAGTTTTGACGTCCACTCTCTTGGCACTGGTCAGTGCACCACCGCAAACAGAAATAAAAACCACAAACAAAGCTTTTCTGTTTTTGCATGTTTCCAAAAAGTATTCTTTTTACACTTTCAGGACACAAAATCAGTTGTGCCAAACACGACAGCTCTCAGACCAGTGTTTGGATCGAGGCTGGAGCAAAGCCAGGTAAAAATGCAAGATGTAGCGTTGTGCACAACGCAAAAAGTGACCGATACAGAAGTCGTCCAAGGTAAAACTTGTGGCTTATTAAAGTGAAATAGTTGACTTCATTCCAGAACCAGCAAAAAGCTGAAATATTTGTTGACGTTGTTGAAAAGGTCTACGCTTCCATCTCCAAAGAGGTAAGAACAACTTTGCTCAAATCTGTGCAAAACCATTAAGTATGGTCTATAATTGCTTCGAAACCAGGGTAGCATCAGCAACTTTCTTCTGTGTGGCAGCGTGAACTTAAAAAGCTGCCTCGAGTCCAAAGCAAGCATCACACTTGGATTCAATGAAGATTTGGTTCTTGCATCAGGAGCATCTGAATCAGGTATGATATGTTGTGCATATTTTAATATAATTTGCTAGAACATACGAAAATGAGCGTTCATACAAAAAAAAGTGAAGCTATTAACGACAGACACACTTGTCTGAAAAACGTCCTTGTCAAAGCTAGTTAATCACTGCAGAGGACAGTTTTGACTTAAGCCGTAATAAAGATTTATCTTTTTACAAGCTATTACGTTAAAACTTAATTACTGCTTGTTCATGCTGTGCTAAGGCCTCCCATCCTTCACCTTGTTAATCGTGTTTTTCACTACAATGTTCTTACTGACACAGCTAAAGCTGTTGTGCCATAACTGTTGCATAGCTCTGGAACTATTTGCACACTGAAAAGTGCACAACGTACACTTAACAGTGGGCATAGATTTAACACGACAGTATGTCTCTACTGAATTTGCTTTTTTCAGAATCCTACAGCACAGATGTTGTTCTTTCCCACTACATTCCTTCACGACACGGTAAGGAGCGAAAAGTTTGCAGTGGACCGGACGCTGACTGTTCTGGCTCCTCAGGGAGAGGTGAGCAACTGTATTTACTCATTTGCAGCGTGATCACTTGTGTTGCATGCATCTGTCCTCATCTCTGTCATTAATGAATGTCATTAATCACTGTCATTAATGAACATCAACTTCTAATGTTACAGCTCTTCTTGGTTATAATTAGCCTGCAAGAGGAGATTATGTGGTTGTACAATATATCACATGTGGCACTTGTGTGTAGTGTGACTTCCGTGTTTGTATCTACATGCCAACATTTCAACAACACGCTATTATAGCTAGCCTCTTGGGAGCTGCAAACATTCGATTTTTTAGTATAAGTACTACATCTTTAGAGCAGCACTAATCAGATATGTTGATCCAGCAACGGGTTGTTTCGCGATAGCCGTGTGATGATGTCCATATTGATATTTCTCTCCCATAAGCATGCTGGTTGGAACAATGGAGCTTCGATAGTCTCGGTGATATGCCAGAAGACGTTAAAGCTGCCCCTGCTCAAAACACATTTGATTACTTTTTCTTTTTCGTTCGCCCCTCCACATGTCCTCAATAGGTCGGCAAACCCGTGAGTCAACTTACTCAGATTCACGCAGACTGAGATTTGGCAGTGAGTCCGAGTCTGAGCGAGCCTTATGAACGAAATACATTTTTTGAATCAGTACGAGTGAGCTCCAAATTTTTGCTGACCTATGGTGAAACCTGTCCCTCCTCCTTCATTCCTCATTGCATACTTATCGTATAAAATATACAAACAACAGAAGTATGTAATGTTCTGTATTGTTGCACTGGTTATGATAGGCAAGTGCTTTATAATGAACGTAAAGGTTTACTAACAAATCTACATTCCCGAAGTAAATTTGCGTGGGTCACACAATGTGCCTAAAATTGACGTCTAAAGCTGCAGTTTTTGATATACATTTAATTTCCGAAAGTGGAACTGTTACAATGCACGAGCTAAAATGAAATGTTGTGCATGTGTATCATACAGATGTGATGTTACTGCACGACGTTTTGTGTAGCGAAACATCTAATGATGCTTTTTTATTATATTTGTTGGTTTCATCAAAATTTATGACAGTATTTTCTTTAATGACAGCTTGCCAAAGTGTACAAAAATTTAAACAAAATGCCTCTACATTTGCTGCTGGATTTACCAATTTGGGGATAAAGGACTCCCTTAAGACGTCCTTAATGGCTTTTCCCTTTCCTCCCATTGCACTTGTGATAAACAAATAAGCCAAATCAAGTCGATCAATCAATCATTCTCTCTCTGCTCTGTCTCCCCGTTGCAAAATTGCAGGTACCAGTTCTGAGATACTGCACCACTAGGCCCAACAATGGGTACCCGTTTACAATTGTCACAGCAGTCGAGGATGTGCCGTGCTCAAGGTGATCTGTCTCTTGATTTTTTTTTTCGGGGGGAGGGAGAGGAAGGGAGAAGCATATTATATGGTTGTTTGACAACAACCATATAATATGCTATGTTGGTTGAGAAGAAAGTAATTGATATAGTAATGAAAAAAAAAAAAAAGGCTGAGCTCTCATGCATATTAACTTGAAATTTCAACTTGAGGGCGCAGCTTTTATGCCTTTTCCAACTACAGCAGTCTTAATCTTTTTCAAGTTCATTGTTCAGTGCTGCAAACCGTGCACAAGCCCAAGCAAGGTGAGTAAAAAGATAAACGAAGCCAACAAAAACGAGTTTGAGAGTACTAAGGTGTTTTGAAAGGATATAAAAAATCATTACAATCGATAATGTGGCAGGGAAAAAAATGAAAATCTGAATAAATATATCTATGATAGGTATGTTGTCAGCAAATTAGGACAATGGTGTGGATTATGTCTTGGTGTTTAAGACGATACATAGATCTTGTCATGACTAGTGTGTTCTAGAAAAGTATGGCTGTATTATTCATTTCCAAACTTTGTGCAGCTATGTCTGGCGGTGCCCAGATGATGCCTGGTGCACTGTCAATGTAATCGGCCTGAATGTGGAACGAAAGCATACATTTAGTATCACGCAAAACGAGCTTAATTTGACTGACAGTGCTGCCCTGCTCATGTGTGGATTGAAATCACGATATATATTGACAAAAAGTTCACATGCCAGTTTTATGCCACGCTGTCCAGCCTCCAAATTTTACCAGCTTGCTGTGGAATGCATTTGGTTTAACTTTCACTCCATAATACTAGCTCAAAAATTTGGTGTTCCGGCACCTTGAGTACAAGACAACTGGCATCAAAACATTTTTTAAGCGAATTAACATGCAGAAAAAAAGAGAGAGGGAACTACATTGCATATTATGTGCACAAGTGCATCAATGTGACAAAAAAACCCATCAGAGCTAACATGAATCCTTTCTGTGACATTTTAAATCTGCTTGTAACGTCACGTGTTTTCATAGAATGCATTAAAATGACATCACAGAATGTACACTTAAACCTCATTATTACAAAGTTGAATCTCACATGAAAATAAGTTTGTTATATCCAAAAATTCGTTATAAAGGTATATATATCATGTCTATTACAAGACTAGTCTTCATATTCTTTGTTATAACCGTTATTTCGTTATATCGAGGTTTGAGTGTAACAGTTATTCTTCACTGCACAGGGACCTGGTTCTCACGGTGAAGCTACGTTGTGAAGGCCATGTGGGCTCTGAAGCTGTAGGAACTACCCTGGAAATTGCTCTTCCTTGCAACACAAGCGGGTCGGTGTGCTGCAGTTTTTTTATCTGCTAGCGGTTTTGTTGATGAAGTCTGCATTCACCTGCATGAATGGTTTTACAACCTGAAACAAGGCTTCAACGGAGCTGAAGAAAACAACGAATAACTTAACTGTAGTTATTGAAAAAATGTATAGAGAGTGCATAAAAATGACAGCATAAGTTGAACAAAAGACTTGATCAGAATCAAGTTTCTTTTTTGTATTCTCATCAGCTCCTGTGTGCGAGCTTTTATTGTGATAAAAACACTTCTGATCGCAATCAAAGGTGGCTGCGTTAGTCTAGCATAATGGTGAGCCATAGTTGAGGTTGGTGCATTTTAGTAAACTTGGTAAAATTCAGATGGAAATCAGTATTTCCTTTGGCTTTGAAACAGTAGGAAGATACATATTGTAATGCATAGGAATACACAGTTATAAGGGTCTTTGCTGACCTGTTTGCATGTTTGCTGTCTATTGCACCTCCCAACAGGATCATGAAGCGTTTCAACGAGCTGGAACAGAGCGCAGAGTTTCAATATGAAAACAAGAAAATCATCTGGAGGATAAAATGCCTCAAAGCCAAGTCAGAAGCAGTAGCCAAATTCCGAGTAAGTGCTTAACGTGAAGTATACACAGTATTTCATTGAGTAGATAGACTCTTGGCTAGAGTACTTCTGATGCAAGTCTACTCATTTTTTAATTAATTCATTTCATTTAAGCTTGCCAAGTTTGCCGACATGGCAAGAGTCACTGTGATGATTGTTCACTTGTGTTTAAATTTATTTTTTCGTTTTAAGCTTGCCAATGCCAATGAAGGTGGGTTCGGGAAGCTAGAGCTCGGACCCATTTCCATGAAATTTGAACTTTCGAACCAGTCGACGTCCGGGCTCAAGATCCGCTTTCTCAAGGCTGACCAACACTCGGGCGGGAACATTCAGCGCTGGATACGGTACGTCACGACATCAGACTGCTGGGTCCAGCGATTAACGTGACGACAATAAATTCATGATAAAGTACTGATTGGGGCGTTGTATCAATGCTTCGTGAATACAGAGGCACAAGCGTTAGACACTTCATTAAACGCAAAAAATTGACCGCCGGCTTTGGCAACATCAACTCAAGTGATGCGAAAAATCATCATCAGGTGATGTGATGGTTCTGCCATATGACATTATCATGACGTCACAGATCGCCAAAATTAGTGACAATATTGTTACGGGGAGAAGGCGTCTGAAATATACCTTTACTTTTGGTAAACAGGCAGGCATACAATATGGAGCCCAGTCAGCACGAGCTCGACCTAAACATCGTCCTCTTTTCTACAATGTTCGTTTGTGGCGCCCCGTAGCATCACCCCCGGCAGCGAAGGCACCGTCTCGGTGCTTGGTTGGTTCGAGTAATATCGCTTCACCCTCGTGACGTGAACAACATCAGAACACGATCGCACGCTGGTGGCGTTAAGAGGTTCAATTTCATATGTCACGTTGGTGACTTGGCGCACCACACGGTACAGACCCGAGTACGGTGAAGTCAGCTTTTCGCACAGGCCAACTCGCCACGACGGCGTCCAGAGGAGGACTGTGTCACCTTGACTGAAGTTGACATCACGATAGCACGCGTTGTAAACCTGTCGTCGTCGTTCCTGCGAATCGCTCAGACGCCGGCGAGCAATCTCACGTGCCTCTAGAGCTCTAGAGATGACATTGTGGGCATATTCTGACGCGTGGCTAACGGCAGGAAAGAGCGTGTCAAAAGGCAACATAGGTTCTTCGTCCGTACAGGAGGAAAAATGGCGAGAAACCTGCAAAGTCATGCCGAGACATATTATAGGCAAATGTTACAAATGGAAGGGTGGAGTCCCCGTAGCAATATGACATCACAAAACGTGACATCACATGATTTTATCACATGAATTAGTCGCTTGGTCAAATGTGGGTTGATCAGGGAGGCAGTGCAAAACCACGTGTGGGGCAGAAAGCTTGCAATGCCTCCGATTTGGAGGGGGGCCAGGGAAGGATCAATACAATACATTGACAGAAAAGTAATATAAGCTGGCCTTCGCCTTGAGTCATCGGAGGTAAATGCATAAGGGACCCTTGTGAACGGTTCTTTAACGGAACAGACCCTTAGTAAAAGGAGCCTTGGTAAGTAAACCCTTGGTAAATGGGACCCTTAGTAGGTCAATCCTTAATAAACAGGACCCAGTAAATAGACCATAAGTAAGCTGATTGATATGTGGGGTTTAACGTCCCAAAACCACTATATGATTTTGAGAGACGCCGTAGTGGAGGGCTCCGGAAATTTAGACCACCTGGGGTTCTTTAACGTGCACCCAAATCTGAGCACACGGGCCTACAACATTTCCGCCTCCATCGGAAATGCAGCCGCCACAGTCGGGATTCGAACCCGCGCCCTGCAGGTCAGCAGCCGAGTACCTTAGCCACTAGACCACCGCGGCGGGGCAGACCATAAGTAAGCTAAGCCCTAGTAAACAGACCCTTAGTAAATGGTGGGTCCTTTAGTAAACGGTTCAATAAACCTTTGCAAGATGGAGAAAAGTGAGGGTTATCTGTACACTTGTAGTATGAGGATGCAAAAAAAGGCACATTCAATCATCCATCACTGCCAGCGACGATGTGACTGAATGTACCTTCTTCAGCTCCCTTGTACCAATTCCTTGCTTTTTTTTTTTTTATTCCGCATCTAGACATGAATTAACCGGCCCAGCTTTTCATGCTCGTAAGGTATGACAATACCAACGGTTGAACGTAAACTTTTTCCTTTCCCGAAAGTTTGCAATTTATGAAAAGTGGTAACATTTCATTCAATGATGAGTAACCAATGGTCAGATTGCCAACTGTGCAGTTTATTACTTTCCCAACGACTTACATGAGCAATGTACAGCATACTATCTGTCCATTTAAATGGTAAGTACGTGAAAAGATGTCTCAAATGCCATGCCGAAATTTCTGCGAAAAGAGCTCTTTAACACTATCACATTAATAACAAATGCATAGGTTCGGAACAGCTCAGCATTTTCTAGCAGTAGCTGAGATGGGTGATGCCCAACCAGCAAGGGCAATGCATCCGCAAAAGACACATCCGATGGAGTATTCAGAGCTTGTGCCACTCTCGTGCCAAGTGGGCCACACAAATCTTATTTATTTTTCATTTCACAATACTGCTGGCCCTTCCAGGGTCCATACAGGAGTGGGTTGAACATGAAATGCACAAAAATTGTGTGATATGAGCAGTGGCTTCTGACCATTCTGTTGTATGAATCTCGAGACACTGAAATGCTGAGGTTAAAGATGGGTGCAACGGGTCGCTCCAATGAGCGGCTCAGAACGGCTCAGGTCACCGAAATGAGCCGGTTCACCTAAGTCGACGACGAAAGGAAGGATACTATGAGTGAGCGTCACATGCTTGCCATTATCCTTGGTAAGCCATCCTCCTTGAAGCCACGCCTCCTGATCATTGGAGTCTCGTGCCTGAAGCCAGAGACAAAATTTGTGGTCGAAGGGCACATACGGTGGACTCCAAAGGCGTATGTTACCAGCCGTCTCGAATTTTGCAGGACTGCGATGACCAACTTTTTATACAGTGTCCAGACTCCCGTGCCATTAGGTTCAACATTTGATGTACGATATCGAATGCACACATTACGCTATGGAGCACGAATCACACAAATTGCACGCGCAGAGCAATTTTGTGGTAGCTGCGAAGCACTTTAGATGAACTTGCGCGTGAATAGCGACCACTTCTACGATTACGTTCTCGAGCAAAAGGATGTGTTGAGAGCTGCACGCAGCCAGCGTAATTACTACTTCAGAAGACCACAACCAGAAACAATGAATTGGTGTGAAGATAACGCAATAAAGAAAACTGTAAATTAGTGTATGTGTCCTCCTCCCCCCCCCCCCCCGCCTTGACTTCATTGACAAGAATATATATTGTAGCGATGCTGTGCCCACGATTCTAAAGACTATGGTCATCAAGTCCGAGTAGCCGAGTGGCACAGATCCAACTATCTTCCTCTTCCTCGTTGCCGGAGCGCAGGAATGCGTGGCGCATGCCAGCCGGGTCTTGCTTGTGCTCTTGCCACGATGATTGCGGCGGGCTACTTGAACGTGGCCGACCTGTCGCGGCAATATGATGGCACTTGCGAGCAAAGGCAGGGGGAAAGTTGCTTTGCGTCCTCATACCACGAATAGATGTCGTAGAAGACGCACCCAGCAAAAGGCCCGGCACCCGGCTTCAGCGTTAGCTATAATGAACTGCTGTACCGCTATCCTCACCTGGCTCATGCACAGCTCTGAGTAACTGAGCCACCATAACAAATTCATTCAGCTTAACTCACTGAACAAGCGAGAACCAACTTTACCCTCTCCCAAAGAACCACCGCTCACTTTTACCGAGTGCTGGGCAGTACTGCGATACAAGAGTACCACGATAATATCGCAAAGACACTATTGAGTATCTGTATTTCTGAATCGGGATACTTCTGAAAAATGTGCTTGTTTCAGTAGTAAAACATTTTTACAGTGTATCGATAGTTCGTGATGCTTTGCTGGACATGGGTGTCTTATTGCGTTTTAGTTTGGAAGGACTACACCTGCTTGCAAAGGGAAAGACTTTTTTTGTGTGCTCAGCAAAGGAAATACATACCACCGGTCGGCCATACGGGGAGGGTGGTGGAGGGTTTCCCAAAGGCGCAGAATGACCCATGTGTTAACGGACTCGTATTCTCAAATGTTTTTAGAACCAATTCTAAATATGTCGGTATTGTCAGCCTTATCAACAAAGCATTCATCTCTCAAGGCTTGAGTAGCACCCCTTATTTTTTCTTTTTTTTTTTCAGTGGCCAGCCATTTCGAGTCTGTGTGTTGAAGCTTAGCTGACACTGTCCAGCAAACAAACTGACAAGTTGATGTTGCCGAAGTGCAGTTAACGAACGACTTTTCAATACGCCACAACATTATTCACAATAATACTCATTTATTAAATGTATTTTCCGAGTATCAGCATCCCCGAAATGGATATGTATTCCAGTAACTGTACCTGCAATCTGAAATACGTTTTTTGCCCTCTCGCAAGTGCATCTCCTAAATATCCCGTTATGGTAAACATAAATGGATCTCAGTATCTGTATTTTAGACTTCCAGTGCCTTAATTAGAACATCTGTATTCCAGCATATTTTTTCAAGTAACTCTACTCAGCCCAGCCTTTACTGAGTCATGAATTTAAAAAGAGCTGCTCAAAAGATCTAAAAGGACCCTGAACGATTTTTTGAAGTTTTGTCAGCGTCTAGGCTAGAGCATCATCTAACCATTCGCACCACGAACTTAGCGACACGCCGCAACCAAGGCCGCTACAGACAATTGTATCATACCCTCCTTCTCAGCTCTGCCCGGCCTCCTCAACTCTTGAGGCATCCTGGCATCGGCTGGCGCTCTCGACAATTTGAGCTCTAACCAGTCTAGTCCTCCGACATCGCACGTCGACAGGCTATGCGTAGTCTCGGAGGCCGTCACACAGTGCATCCGGCAGCATGCACGCCGTCTGGCAAGAGAGACAGAGATCACAGAGAGGTTCATATCTACTCTGACAGGTGCCACCACCCCACAAAACAATCTTCCTTTCGCACATTGTACAGCCCATGGCAGCCAATCAGATGAGCAGCCCCAGTGATGTCAAATGGCCAGAGCATGCCGCTCTGTGAACAGGCCGTTGAAAACGGGTTTGGCCGAGTCGCAACGACCTGTAGCTATTCGCAGCTTTAAAGCATTGTGATAAATTACACAGTGTACGCAGAGAGCTCATAGGGGTCTTTGAATTACCCTTAGGACTTGGTTTATCGGCTCAATGTGTTTTCAGAAAATCGCCAAACCGTTCCAGGGTCCTTTTAACGGTGGTGTGCCAAAAGACAATAGCACAGAAGGGGGCAAACTAAACGCAGTGCCCCACAATTGTGCACTGCATTTAGTTTTCTTTCTTCTGTGCCACCATTTTCATTTTTTTTTTGCACACCGCCATTAAGATGAGAGCAGTCCGTGCTTCTCAAAATATCCGGCTCACACCTGAGCGACCCGTCTCCAGCTGAGGTTAGTTTTTACCAAATAATATTCCCTCTAGATACACAACTGAACAAGCAGCTGGGAATTAAAATTATTTTTGATAAACTTGCGGTCTGCACAAGTGTCTCACAAATTAGTGCATGCTCTCCAAACAAATCTGCTCATGAATGTCAGCAACGTTTTCATTTGAACAGCATGATTTGCGAGTTATGATGATGTGTAAATTATTTCCTCCAGCTACAGCTATTATAAGTAATGTAATTGTCGGCACATGTCTTGGCTACTCCGATTTTTACACAACTATGAAAAAACAAAAGAGGGCATTCAGTATCATGAAAAGCAAACGAATACGTCCTGTTAAGTTTAAAATAAGTTAGCTCCGCATGCCGCATGGATGCACGCTTCGATAAAAGAACATCAGGGTAATGTAACGACAATGACATCGAAGTTTACACTATAAGCAATAAACAAAAGCACGTCACAATACGAGGCATCTGTTTGGAGCAGTATAAAGACGTGCGGGTATTTGAAAGCGGTGGCCCCAAACACCGCCACTTCATATCACATCACGACGCACTACACACAAACATTATACAACAATGATCACATGACCTGTCGCTATGGCTGCAAAAAAAAAAAAATGAAAAAGCGAGGACCTGCTGTCAACCGGTCGCATCGGTGGACGACAATCGGCGTTCTTTTTTGACCGCTGGCTTCTCACTGGCCGGCGAGGTATTCTCTCTCTTCGGGGGCTTTTTCTTGTACTTACGGGGCGCCGGCGCCTTGACCTCTGGGAGTCTCAGCTTCGGGTACTCCATTGGCGCCTCGCGTTTAATCTTTGTGGGGTCGCACTCAGCGGAGTAGGACGGAATCGCGATGCCCAGCTGCTTCATCAGTTTCTCCATCACGTCGTCCACGTAGGCGCGAAGGATCAGGTTGGCCGACTTGTCGATCTTGGTGGGCTGCAAGTTGCAGATGACGATCTTGCCTCCGGTCTTCTTGGCCAGCAGAGGCAGCGCGCCGCACGGCACGATCTGGAGGGTGGAACCGAGGCACAGGATGAGGTCCGCGGCCCTGCAGTGCAGGTCGGCCGCGTCGATGGCGTCCTCCGGAAGTTCGTGCTCCCAGTCCAGTATGGAGTCGTGCAGGCGACCGCGACAGAGCCTGCCGTTCTTCTTGGGCACGGGGCAGGGCTCCCCCGTGGGCTTCTGGCCGACCGACTTGGTCGCCGTGGTCCTGACAAACTGGCGACCGCACTGGTTGCAGCGGTCGAGAAACATGTTTCCGTGCAGGTCGGTGAGGATCTCCGGAGGGAAGCCCGACTTGAGGTGCAAGCCGTCCACGTTCTGGCTGACCAGAAACTTCAACTGAGAGCTCCGCGCGAGCGCCACGAGTGCCATGTGTGTGGGGGTCGGTACGGCGTCGTCGAACGAAATGTCGACCTGGGGCTTCTCTCCCTGCTGCTCGAGGGTCCAGACGCCTCGTGGACCTCGGAAGTCCGGGATGCCGGCCGAAGTGCTGATGCCGGCACCGGTGATGACGACGATGTGCTTGGAGGCACGCATCCAGTCGGCGAGACGCGCTATCTTGTCTTCGAGCAGCGACTGCTCGTCGAAGTGTTCGGGCTGGCCGCAGATGCCTTTGTCGGCGTACTCGGAGAGCCCGCTCGCGTAGTCGCAAGACATGATGAACTTGGCGAATTCGGCGGTTCCTCGCTCACATTATCGCCGCCATCGCTGCTGTTTGCGACCGGCTACGACGAAGCGGCTTGCACGAGCGGGCCGATATATTTTGACAAATTTGTGAAGAAAATCAACGAGTGCGCTGCAGGAACATCGCTTACCAGCTGCAACAGCAAGTTTATGCTTAAGAACTGGCCAGAGCACCAGAGCTGCCGCAAATAGCCGATGATAGAAAGAAAACAACCTAGCAACATATCATTAAAGTTTCGGTTTCGGTTCTGACGGTTCGCGCGCAACATAGCACGGAAGAACCATGACGCGTGTGTAGGCAGCGGATGCACTCAGGACGGGCCAGCTATCTTTGAATGTAGAAGCAATGCAAAGTTCAAATGGTTCCAGGAAAGTTACTGTTTGAGTAAACTATCCTTTCTTCTGCATGCATGCGAGGCATCTAGGAATCCTTCAATCCCGGATTTCTTTTTTCCTCTCCTTAGGAATCGCTTCATAGACTGCCTCAAACATTGCATGAACTACAAGATTTTGATTTTGCCAACCACTTTGAAAGCGGGTAATTAAACAGCACAAAAACTAAAATTTCATGTTCAATGCCTCAACATTAATCCATTAAGCATTCGAATTTTTCTGCTTTGCTGTGAAATACAAAGGATTACCAAACTACATGCATATGTAGTAAGCAGAAAAACACCAGTACTTGGTGAATAGAAAGTTACAAACTGTCCAATAGGACATTTAGCAAGCCGACCTACAACTTTCTCACTAAAGCTTCTTGCTCTTGTTCGTTCCTTCTTAAGTCGATTAATTAAAAAAATGATGGTTTGATGACTGATGGAAATTTCTCACTGTTATGGCAGCAGTAAATTCAATGGCACAATCCAAATAGTGTCCTCACTCACCTTGCATTGCAACATTAAACATAATAAAATGCCACCAAGGACCGAAATACTAGAATACACAATATTGACAAAATAAAGTCTTTTACTTTGTGTGACTAAATACAGTATCAGAAGTGATAATGAGTCAAATGGTTACACGCTTACTTGGCGCAAAGTGCTTGTTTGAAAGAGTACAATCAGAAACCATAAAATAATAAGGGGCAACAATTTCATGCTCCAAATGAACCTTACGTGCTGAAAATACAACGAAAACGCATGTATGGGCCCAAATCTATATACCACATCGTCCCACTCACCAAGGAACACCACAGAAAGCACCAGTCATACAGCTGTAACAGCAGTAAAGGCAGAGTATGTAATGAGAAGTAAGATTCGACAGTCCTTGTGAACAAATTAATTGCACAATTTTTAGTCTTGTTACAATTTGTAGAAGCAGATGTATTTAGATGACCAATTCAGAATCCCGAAATTATTACAAAATCTCTAGACAAACACAATGTATTCATGATTTTTGATCTGTACAAATACCTGCTTTTTCATTGGCATCATAACATACAGAATATCCATCTAATCGGCAAGAACACTACAAAGAGGCAGCTAAAGAAAAAAAAACATTCCCACTACAGTTTACAGCATGCATACAGACACCCTAGTGAGAAAGAACGAAGCCACACTGTCGGTACGAAAGCTAACGCTCTAATGTCCCACACAACTGAGCAATTGCGTAGTACTTTGACAACGTCGAATGCACCTTTACAACGGAAGAAACCTAAAACGATTAAAGTTGCACTGAAACTGTCACTGGTGTTCATGTTGACACAGCTCTTCTGAGCTTTGCATGCACTACACGGCAATATCAGGAGACATCAGGGGCACTGAAATGGACGGCCACTTATGTGGGTGTGGACCCAAGTCTTCACGTGGTTTTATGCCAGAAGGTTGAAGGGTTCAGGCGACATTGACATGGTTTATCTCCAGTGTGGGCGTGCTGGTGATCGTTCAGTGAGGTACTTTGCGAGACGCCCAAGGAACTCAGTAATTTCAGAGTACTATGGAACAACTTAAATGTGCCTTTACAAAGGAAAAGTTTGCACAGTAGAAACTGCAATGAAATGGTCACTGATGTTCATGCTGGAACAGATGATTGATTGATTAAAACTTTATTTTTGTCCTGAGAAGACGCAGGGGAAACCCCACGCCACCCGGCTAATCCCATGTAGGGACCGTCAAGCCAAGCTTGTGTGCTTTGAAAATTCCACGATAGTGCAAATGCCTGGGGACATAAAGCCCACTTATACAGTCGATCGCCTGGGCGTTTGCGAACGTGATACCTCAGGGTGGCCCTTTTTGAGAAGCTTGACGGGTACAGGTGACATCTAAACGGTCGTTCTCTAGTGCGGGTGCACAGGTGATTCTTCAAAGTGGACTTAGGTGAAAAGCTTGCGGGGCACAGGTGACATGCATACTGTCGCCCATCTGTGTGGGTGCGCAGGTGATCGATCCATCAATGTGTTTTTTTTTTTTCGAGAAGCCTTGGGGACACAGGTGGCATGGTCACTCGGCTGTGTGAACCCTCATCTGACGTATCAGGTTATACGGCTTATAAGTCTCGTAGTCACACATATCAGACGCCATCCCCAATATGACTTGTCCACACTAAGGTCCCTAGATGAAAACTTCTTTCATCTAAGAACCTCAGTCCACTTGCATGGTTGCCAGATGAATGAAAGACACTGAAGGTATTTATTCAGCATACCTTACAAAGCACAATTATCGCATTGAGTAAGAGGGCAAGTACAAAGTAAATAGAAAAAATGCACCAGTAAAGACATGGAAAGAAATAGAGAAAAAGTGTACAGTGAATTAGAGAAAAAAAAATTATACACTGCAAAAAACACAGAAAGACTGAAGAAGAAACCAAAACGTGTACGTACATATAATATATATACATCGCAAAGCACGAAGTACACAGCAATAGCATTTCTTATTTCATGAAAAAATCACACACTTGGCACAAGCTAGCAAAAAAAAAAAACAGGAAGACTTTGCCAAAGAAATAAATAAATGGTGACGACATGATGCTATTTTTAAAAATGTTTATGCAACCGATCAAGAAATGCTTGATGATTACTAATAGACATTTTCGTTGGGAAGATCATTCCATAAAACAATGGCTTTGGAAAGTGCTGATAAATTGAAAGTGTTAGTTCGTCCACTTATGAGTTTAATACTCTAATATGTAAGCAGCATGATATGCATGAAGACACTTCCAATGGACAGGAAAAAAAAAAGAGCAGGTTACTCAATATATTGCTTTTCAGGCACTTTTCATTCGAAATAAAAGGAATTTTAATTTTACAGTTTTACATGGCAACAGAGCCCTACAGCTGTGCATCATTTTTCTGAAGGAAAATGTCATTTATTATGAGCCACCTAGGGTTTTCCTAACGTAAGCATAAACCCAGGTATGTCGTGCTCAGTACGAGAACACCACGGGAACACGTAGCCAAGTGCACGGCAAGATTGTACAGTGGCATTGATCAGGGCATATTTCATTACATACAAAACATTTGAACCGTTAGTGAAGAATGACCTAGTGAAGCAATAATAAATACTGAAACATTCTTGCTACATTCCCTACATGAATGGTCAAGGAACAATAAAGTCTAATGTTGTTATACATATTTCAGCAACACCATGGTGCTCTGCAATCACCTGAAAAATGTGCCATTACCAAAACGGATCATACGGAAGAAATTGTGCTGGAATAATCACTCGCGTGAATGCACTAGCATGTGTTTTTTGAGATATGCTTGCAGCTTAAACACCCGGGAGCATAAAGTGCATTGATACGGTCGTTCAGCAGTGTGGATGCCCAAATGCACTTTCAGTGACTTTTTTCTAGCGAAGCTCTGGTGGCACAGGTGACATTTATGTGGTCGCTCGCCCGTGTGGGTAAGCTGGTGGTTGGTCAATCTGGACTTCTGTGGGAAGCTTTTAAAACACAGACGACATTCATACGGTCGCTCTCCTGTGTGGTAGCGCAGGTGAACGTCAAAGTGGCCTTTTCGGGAGAAGGCTTGAGGACACAGGTGGCATTTAAACGGACGTTCGCCTGTATGAATCATAATGTGTCGTTTCAGATAAGAAGGATAGTCTGTCTTGTAATCACACAAATCACAGCGCAGACGGCATCCCCGATATAACTTGTTCACATCCATGGTGGCAGGAGAAGGGAAAGACCCTGAAGCTGCACAAAGAAAAAAAGGCACGTTAGTCGATCATGTATAACTGTTCATATTAAAAAAGGTAATTATACTATTATAGTTTTACAAGCCAAGGGAGCTTTAAGACTCTAAGTGATGTCACAGTAGGCAAGTCTCAGTTAATTTCTATCCACCAAGGGTTTTGATAATGTAAACATAAGCCCAAGTGCTATCGTGCTCAGTATAAGCAACACGTGCCCAAGGGCACTAAAAAAAATGTACAGTGGCATCGATCACAGCATATTTTCGAGTTATCTGGGAAGGAGTTGACAGCACCTGTGAGTCTGCATCAACCCCACTGAGAGAGCGAAAAAACATGTAGAAGAATCACACACCATTTTTCATTGTTTCTTATTAGTAATTCACAAACAAAAACACATAATATGACAACAGAACAAGTGACATAGCATACTAGATCACTCAACTTCCAATGCAGTACTATGTGGCATATGCTAACGTTCTTATAATTTTATTGCGAGCACTAAAACACAAGGAAAAACAAAATATTCAAAAAGGACATACCCGTACTAGTATTCGGTGCTATGAAATGTACCTACAAAAGTAATTGTGTGACCGACTGTTAATGCTTAATTGTTGGACAGTGCCTAAGTGCAAGAGCACAATAAAATAAAGCTAAAACGTAATAACAGGAAATATAAAAAGTAATCTCCCAAAAAACTTGCTTGTAGAGAATGAAGAGATAACAAGAGCATGAGTGTAAAATGAGAGAATACTAATTATTATCATTTGTCAGGCAACAGTACAGAAGGCACCAGACCCAAGTTTATGAGTAACAGAGTAATAAACAGAAAGTGCCACTCCACCAATAAATTCGTAAATACTTACAAGCTTGTAAAGCAAAATTAGAGAGCAAAAGAAATATTATGTGAACCTGAAGTTACACGACAGTAGTGCAATGTCTTCGTTAACAAAAAGCCATATACAATGACATATAAAAAGCCATGTAGTGACAAGAACACACAACACGGTCAGCAACATTTTTTCAATTGAAGCATCAAATGAAATGGCCAGCACAGAAAAAGAAAATTCCGTTATCATAAAAAAATTCAGAGCTCGCATGTGCTTTTGGACACTGATAATGTTCTAAAAAAAACTTAAAAACAATTACTGAGGCATCCGAGTTGGTTCCTATCCGCACATATACTTCTACAAAAAGCTCTATTGTCACGCGAAAAAAAAGACCACATACCGTCACACTTGTTTAGTGGACTGTGTGATTAACTCCTTACTAACTTTACATGTATGAATCCTTTGTATGTAAACATTTTATTCCAGGAATGTTAACAGAGATGACAATGTCTCAGTTTGAAATCTATCATTAACCATTTACTGTGATCAGGTATATCAAAACAAGTTCTGAAAAAGTATTTCTAAAAAAATTAGTGCTGTTCCATGCACTAGAAACAGAGTTATACAATATATTTAATGATGATATGTCTTGCAGTGATCTTAGTGAAAAGAAAAAATAACAACTTCCAGCTAAATTCATACAAACGCATAGATACCTCACTCACATTTGAGTTTGACAGCGAAATTGCTTAGGTTACACTTGAATGTTTTCTGAAGCTATCCCGAAGCTCAACAATTGAAAGCATTGAAAGACTCTGTTTTAACAGAAAAGGCAAAGCCTTAATAAATGAACCATTAAACTCACAGGCAAAATAAGGTTTGCAGGTTTACCTAATCTATGTATTGCAGAAATCATTGCCTAATTATTTAGAGAGCTTGATAGATGCTTCTACACACAAAAAAAAAAAAACATTGGACATCGCCGACTACGATGACTGGATTTCAGAATGCTTGCATGATGGGAAAACGCAAAAGGAAATGGGTTAATGTATAGCAGAAACTTTCTCATATCTGGTATACTATCACAAGATGAACACGGAAATAAGTCAATGTGCTTGAAGTGGGCATCAAATGATCAGCAATCTTCCCTTCTGTAATTTTTGAAGGGGGACATAATATCTGTAAAGTGGGTGCATGTACTGCCTTGCATGACCAAGCTAGGATCAGAAGAAACAGGTTTAGGAAGACCCATAATTATTTTCTACTCCACGTAACAAGCAACACACTACTTTGCCACCACCATTCATAGCGCAGTGATCACAACTTTCCTCTATTCCCACTAAACACACCTGTCTATTCTTTACTCTTCAAGAGTGTGATCACTGCATGAACTCTTGGAAGCTTTTCTTTCCCACAGTGAGCGAGAGCGTGTTAGGACTGCATGGCTATACCACTTTATATGAACTGGCTGTGCCAAAGACAAGATTGCATTTGAAGCGTCCCATCAACTTCAATCGCATCATTGCTTCTACCCAGCACTCAAGAATGCCAGGAAGCATAACGCACACGTAAATTTAAAAATCAGGCTCTTATGATACCTACAGAATGTACAGTCCAGGTCAAAAGTTCCCAGGCCATACTTCTATAGAAATAGATTGGATAGGGAACTTTTGACTCCCTCCCCCCCAAATAAAGGTTCGTTTCCACCCGCAAAGTTGACACAAGAGATCCTTCGTGATCTTTCTGAAGTATTCGACAGGAGATGTTCAATGATTATGAGCAACGTCAATGATTATGAGCAAACTATATTATATTTGCATAGGGTAAGTACAAGTGGGAAGACTGATTTGCACATAATGATGGGTGCAACCAAAAGGCCCTCACTCTTCTACACATCACTTGGTGGTAGAGCCCAGGGTACTACGAGAAAGTACGCAGCACAGAGCTTCGCCGTTCTACCACACCGTGGCTACAGCCCAGACTGCCCCTCCACGGCCTGTCATGCGGTGTTAACAATCGAAGAACACAGGGGATGGGGGAAAGAAAAGGAGATGAGAGGCGAAGAGAACAGTTTCGCCCGGCGCGACTGGCGTTGCGCTTTCCTCCGCTGCAGACACCGGTCTTCAACTGACCCCTGACCCCCGCCCTAGGCTCGTATTCCAAAGTGCATGCGTCCACCGGGCTCGAGTCTCTCTTACTCTCGCGCGCGCAGGCAGACTCTCAAATGTGCTTATGTTTGGTGATGGGAGGGGGGAGGCAGTAAATTCTCCAATTTGTGTATGAGGCAAGACCTCAGTTACCGGAGACGAGGTTAGGGCCTGCAAGCAGGTTTTTTTTTTTTGTTGATATGGTATATAAGGAGATGTTGGCGCACCATTATGGCGCCGCGGCAAGCAGTTCATTGGGCCGACACTCAGGAGAGCGTGACTTATAGTCGGCTCCATTCATTCCTGGTCCGAATACCATGACGGTCTGCGGCGCAATTCAAGCCTGGCCCTACACGTTCCCCCCAAGAGTATAGCTGAGCTCTTAATCTGTTCAGTTAGCCTAAACATAACATGCCGAGATATTGCATCGGGAAAGCCTGCGCTCGTATACACCCGTCAAGACGATAACACTCCACGGCCTAACTCATGCCCGGCCTTACACCCCCCACCACTGTACGCCTGAACAGCTTGGTGGTTTTAACGATGTCGTCTTCATCGCTCACTATTACAAGCATAAGGGTCTTTTTCCAATAAACTTACTACATACAAAACGTTTGAAGAGTTAGTGAAGAACGACCTAATGAAGCAATAATAATCCCCTGAATGAATATATAAGGTCTAGAAACAAAAAAAGTCTATCCTTGTTATACGTATCCCGACAATACCACAGTGCTCCGGAATGACCTGAAAAATGTGCCTTTACCAAAACGGATCATACAGAAGGAATTGTGTTAGAATAATCACTTGCGTGAATGCACTGCCATGTGCATTTTGAGATGTGCTTGCTGCTTAAAAATCTGGGGGCATACAAAGCATTTATACGGTCGTTCGACCGTGTGGACGCGCAAACGTACTTCCAGTGTCCTTTTTCTCGAGAAACTGGGGGCACAGGTGACACTTATGGTCGCTCTCCTGTGTGGGTGCGCAGGTGGCTGTTCAACTTGCTTTTTTGTGAGTAGGCTTGCGGAGACAGGTGGCATTTAAACGGACGTTCGCCTGTATGAATCCTCCTGTGTATCATCAGGCGAGAAAGACGGTCAGTCTTGTAGTCACGAAAATCACAGCGCAGACAGCATTCCCGATATGACTTGTTCGCATCCAGGGTGGCAGGAGGGACGAAGAAGCCTGAAGCTGTACATAAGAAAAGGCACGTTATTCACACATTACTGTTTATAATAAAAATTATTTATAATATTGGGGTTTTACAAGGCAACAAAGCTTTACAACTCTTAAATCATGTCACAGTAGGCAATTCTCAGTCAACTACTACCCACCTAGGGTTTTGATAATGTGAACATAAACCCAAGAACTATCGTGCTCAGTATGAGCAACACCAAGAGAGCGTGTGGCCAAGGGCACAAGAAAATTGTACAGTGGCATCGATCATGGCATATTATTGAGTTATCTGGAGAGAGCTTGGCTGCACCTGTGCATCACCCCCACATGCTTGCTTACATCCTCGGACTTATCATTTGCGAATCTGACGTGCCCACAGGGCAAACAAGGGCAGGCGTAAACACAAATGCAGGTGATGCGCACTCACAGGAACCACCTGACAACTCGAAATAGTGTCATGATCGATGCCATTTCATAACCTAACAGGGCATTAGGTCAAGTAATCCCAGCGCGTCCCACATACTGAGCACGTTGGTACACACACATTGTGCTATTTTCGCTCAGTTGCAATACCATGACTGTTGACTTATACATGAGCACAAAACCAAAAATCACACTGGTGTTGAATGATAACCAAGTCTGTGATGAGAAATGCTTAAAGAGGTCTGCACACATATATTATACACTTACTGTTACCTGATAAAAATGTATTCTGCATATTCACTCAAGGCAATATATTTTAAAATACAAGTAACTAAAGTGACACCACACCAGAAAGTGGGCAACCAAACAACATCAATTAGGGGAACTGAAGAAGAAAAACATATATCTTCAGCACTATATTTCAGAGAAACAGGTATGCCTAGATTTTAAAGAATGAGCCTGCAAAAAAATGTGAAGAATCACAAACCATTATTCAGTGATTATTTTTACAAAATTTTATTGCAAATGACACTTTATTTGCAATTGATCTAGCAACACTTTAAGGTGAGCACTGAAATACAAGGAATCCAAAAGATATGTCCACGTCCATGTCCATGCGATTTGTCCACATTCGTGGTTAGAGGAGGGATGGAAGACCTTGAGGCTGAACAATGACAGAAAAGAGGTTATTAATCCATTGGTGTTCATATGAAAAATGAATCTTAATAATGAGGTTTTACAAGGCAACAGAGCTTTGCAACTGTAAATAATGTCACAGTATGAAAATCTTGGAGGGGGGGGGGGGGGGAGTGATTCTTAATTGAAAAGAAGAGAAAACTGTGCATATGCCTTTTCAAAGACTTCTTCATTGGGAAGCTCTGGGGGCACATTGCACGGCGTCCGCCCCGTGCAACGTGATGGGAGCCCAGATGATGACGTTTCTCTCATACTTCTGGCAACCTTCAGCGCAGCATATGCTCTTTCGTTCTATATTTTTCGAGCCAATGATAAACATCATGGTGGAGAGAAGGGTGACATTTTGATAAATGAAGGATGCAAAAAGCACGATGGGAATATGTGGTGACCGTGTTTTTGTCAGAGTGCATTGTTTCTATGTTTCTCTATTTCTTTTGTTTTTAACAGTACCAGCCAATCATCGCTTGACGTCTACCGTAGTCACCGGAAAACGTGTTCAAGCAAACTTAGTGCGTGAGAAGCATTTGCTAAATTCAACTTACACTTACACTTGCAGGCACCAAGAGCACCATGCGTTAGGTCGCAACCAAGTGGTATTTTCTCTACTTTGCACACTTTAAACAAATGCTGGAGAAAAATGAAGCAGCATTGTCATCTTTCTGTAAATAGAAAATTTTGTTATTTTTAAATAGGGGACAAGTTTTGTGTTGAAATTCTTTCTCTAGAGACCGTGCTTAAAAAGTTCACTAAGCTATTTTTGTTATTGTTGGACGATGCTTCAGCCCAAAAGGACAATAAAAGAAAGCTATCACAATCACAGGTAATGAAAGAAGCAAGCACCAAGAAAGCTATCGCGTAGACAACGAAGGTGCAACACAAGCATGAGTGAAAGATAAGACATGTTTTTATCATTTGCAAAATGAACAAAAGCACAAGCCACAACTTCAGAGATAACAAAAGCAGTCAGAAACAACAAAGACCTTTCTACAAACAAATCGGCAAATATTTACATCTTAAATTGGAAAGCAAAGCAAAATCATTTGGTGAGCCTGTAGTTATAAAACAATAGTTTGATGCATTAAGCAGAAGCGATATGTTAATGAAAAGATAAGAGAACAGGATGGGTGACATATACTCCAATTAAAACTTCATATGACCTGGCCTTGTCAGGTGACAATTTTATTGGCGAAAAAAAGGGGGGCTCACATTTGTGAATGTCAACTGCTAATGTTCTTAAAAACTTGGAAAACAGTCCTTGGCTGTAGTGCAATTGCCGAGGCATGAATGTCGCTTCGAATGAACACACACAACTTTTCTACAAAAAAAAAAAAAAACTCCAACTGTCCCTAGAACCGTATTTTATCACTTATTTAGTACACACATATGCTGAACTCCTACACGTGAAACTTCAGATGTATGAACCCTTTGCATGTAAATATTTTTATTTCAAGATTGTTATCAGAGGTGATATAATGGTCTAGTGAGAAATCTAGCGTTTGGCATGTACTATGATAGAGTATACTACAACAAGTCCTCAAAAGGTATGATTGATTCCCAGGTACGCACCTGGGAATCAATGTTATGCAAAGCATGCGGAGGGAAGGTGACCATGTTGCAATTTTTTTATTGAGCGACACGTCAGGAAATGACACTAAATATATGTACAAATGTTGCACGTACAGACATAAGTTGAAGAGTTGCAGATGTTTACATAACTAGTTGTTTGCATTTGCACAATGTTGTCAATTGGAACATGCATATTAGAAACACCAGAAGCTGATATGAAGCCCTTCATAATGCTCGCAAGGATGCTGGCCCTGGACACTGCTACATAAATCAACTTCAGCGTAAGGAAACTAACCACAATTGACGTTAACCTGACGTGACGGCTGTATCAGAGGAGTACATATGTAATGTTTATAAAATTGAGTAGGCAGCACTACAACGACTAACGACGTTTCACGAAGGTTGGCGTCTATTTCAAAAGTAGTTCAGAGACCTGGCGTAGCCCTGTGTTAAAATGCTTCAATGCCATGCAGAATGCTTGGGTTCGATTCCAGCTGGGACCCTGACATTTATTCTTTGCATTCATTGGGTCGCGCTACCGATGTCGGGTATTTCTTGTTCGCATATTAAAATTGCCCATGTGTATTTTCGTCGCTCCTGGGTAGATACTAAGTGTCAATTACCTGTGGCACATACCCGCATAACAGCGGCTTATATCCGCCACTGGGTATGTGCCACAATATGGCGGGAAGTGTTTGACGACGTACGTGACGGGATTGACATATTACTCATGTCTTGACTAACGCGCCATATTTGTCAAACAATCTTACCCTCCCAAGCTAATTTTGGTTCATGTCACATTAAGGGGGTGACCACGAGAGCGCCCAAATGTAAGCGGCTAGATAGATAGATATGGTCAAAGTTGCCGAAGTTGGCTAAGAAATGCTTCGCATTTAAAAAACTTTTGGAAGTATTCAATAAAGCTTATAAAAAAACACATAGATACTTCACCTACATTTGAATTCAACAAAATCTTGTATAGGTTACACTAGAACATTGTCGGAAATTATCCAAAAGTTGAACAAGTGAGAGCATTGACAGAATATGTTTTAACAAAAATTCAAAGCCTTAATAGATAGACCATTTTACAAAACTCTAATACAAAATAAGGTTTAGATGTATCCAGATTAAGTCATTCCATGCTATTCGGTGATATTGGCACAAATGCTTCCATGGGAAAACAAGCTCAATGACAACAATGACTGGGTTTCAGAATGCTTGCATGATGGGACAAGACAAACAGAAATCAGAAAATGCATTGCAGAAAAACTTTTTCTTCTGAGATATCACAAGCTGCGCAGAGAGATCAGACTATGTACGTCAAATGTGCATTAAATAACCAGTAATCTTCGAGTTAGCGTGCCCTAGGAACAGACGCATAAATGTTTGCAAACTGGGGTGCATGTAACGCCTTGCATGACTAGTTACAGTGGGAAGAAACAGATTTAAAAATAACCACTATTTACAACTCCACGTCACATGCTCTGCACTCGTTTGCCGTCACAATATCCAGTGCTGCAGAGATCATAGCCTTCTTTCATTCGCACTAAACACACCCTTCTATTCACCGATTTTCCTCAGCGTGATTGCTATGTGAACTCTTCGAAGCTTTTCTTTCCCACACTAAGTGTAGAGCATGTTATGATTGCAATGCAATACCACTTTATATGAACTCAGTTCACCGATCACAAGTCTGCGTTGCGAGTGTTCCAATAACTACAATTGCAATAAAGCTTGCATCCAGCTCTTCGGAATTACAGGAAGCATAAAACACATGTGTGGAAGACCAAGATGAGCTCTTATAACAGAACGTACACCAGCACAAACAAGTGATTTAACGGTCCAATTTTCGTCCCTCACAAGTACAAATACTAGGCTTCTCTTTCAATGACCTTAGTAGATGCAAAATATTCGAACAGTTAGTGAAAAACATATTTATTAAAGCACTAAAAAATAATGAAACATACTGGCTAAATTTTACTACATTAATATTGATGGCCTCAAGAAAATAAGATTTACTGCTGTTCTAACCAAACAAAACCACAGTGGTTTCGCAAAGCCCGAAATTCCCCCTAGGAAGAGAAGCTCCTACAGAATAAATTACGTTGGTATATCACTGGCGTGAATGCACAAGCATGTGTTTTTTTAGGTGTTGCCGCCGTTTAGACGTATGAATGCATAAAGGGCATCGATACGGTTGTTTGCCCGTGTGAATGCATACGTGAATTTTCAGCGTCCATTTTGTTGAGAAGTTCTGGGGGCACAGGTGACACTTTTGTGGCCGCTCGCCCGTGTGGGTAAGCAGGTGGTTTGTCAAAGTCTTCCTTATTGAGAAATCTCGGGGACACAGACGACATTTATACGGTTGCTCTGCTGTGTGGGTGCGCAGGTTACCGTTCAACATGCTTTTCTGCCAGAAGGCTTGCGGACACAGGTTGCATTTAAACGGACGTTCGCCTGTATAACCTTCATGTGTCGTCTCAGGTCACAAAGCTTATTAATCTCGTAGTCACGCGAATTACAGAGGTGATGGCATCCCGGAAGCAACTGTCAGCATCTGTGTTTGAAGGAGGGACAAAAGCCCCTGAAGCTGCACAAAGAAGAGGTATGTCATTTACACATTACCATTTATATTAAAAATTTATCAGAATATTGGTGTTTTACAGGACAACAGAACTTTAGGACTGTATGTCATGTCACAGTAGGCAGTCAGTCAGTCAACAAGCTTTGTTGGTCCTAAGGAATTACACAGTTGTATTTGCAGGCCACGACCCCATTGTGTTCGGAATGCATTGGTCTTTTGCCCGTTCCTGGGCCCCTTGGCAGCCCTTAGTTGTTCCTGGAGAACACCGCTTACGAGGAATTCCTCCCATACCTCTTGTTTATCAAAAGAAGGATTCCTCCCATACCTCTTGTTTATCAAAAGAAGTATTTTGTAAAGCCAAACATTGTCGGAGCATGTGAGCTAACGAGCAATACTCTTCTTGGCACTCAGGGCAGTGTGAATCGATGTCCGGAGCAAAGCAACTGAACCTTCCTCTGGACGGGAAAGATCCCATTTGTAACATTCTAAAGGTAGAAGATTGAGGTCTAGTCAGCTATGAGTGTGGGAGCCAGTATTTTTGGCGCTTAAGCTGACAGTGTTTCACTATTTCATGAAAAGAGAGTAATGATTCGGAGTTATGCTCCCAATCCGGATTGCCTAGCATACCGGGACCATCGCGGAATGTCAGACCTCGCGCTTGGTCATGAACTAGTTCCTTGGGTTGGGTTTGCTGAGATGTACATTGATTCCCATGTGCTCTGGGAACCATACGATATTGTGAAAGGCATCAGGCAGTCTTTTCTAGGTTATAGTCGTCGCTTCTTTTAAGATGAGACAACATAGTAAGGCCCGTATGGCTGATCTGGAGTCAGCGTAAGGCCACGAGGGGTCGTTCATACCTAACGCGATGGCAGCTTCTTTGGCCGCTGCAACCGTCACAAGTCTCTATTGAAAATCATCCCGTGTGGATCACCTACAACAGCACCAAATGAATCTGTCCGCCTGTACAGCCCAGCATCATCTACGTAAGTGGGTGTAGTTATATTAAGGCATTTGTTTGCAAAGTCTATGAGGGAGCGGGCTCAAGCCTTGCATCTAGTCACATTATATTGCGGGTGCACATTTCTTAAGAAAGGGCTAACCTGAAAGGTCTCTCTAATGATGTGAAAGAGCATGGTCACGGTAGGCAAGTCTCCGTTAATTTTCAGCCCCCTAGGGTTTTTTATCATGTGGGCATACACCCAAGTACTATCGAGTACAGTATAAGGAAACCACTCGAACGCATGGCCAAGCACACTGCCAGAATGAACTGTCACAACAATCATGGCATAATTTCGAGTAATCTGGAGAGAGTTTGGCGGCACCTGTGAAAGCGCATCACCCTAACTTGCTTGCTGACACCCCCCCAAAGTTATCATTTGAGAAGGTGATACCGAATCTAACATAATCAAAGAAATCCAAGTGCCAACGACGAAAGTCGAGTTTATTGCTGGATTATACATCCTTGAGTTTACAGAATACTAGGAACTCAGTGTGTATTTTGCCGTGGTAACGCGGGATCAAGCGTTTGAAAAGTCTGCATACACAGCGTCAAGGGGGCAGCCATTTTGGATGGGAACGACATCACAATTAAATCCACGTTCATCGAGCTGGAAATCAGGTAGTGAACAAAACTTTTCTGGTAGCTTGGAAGAACATAAAGGGCTTAACAACTACCCAGCAGTATTTTCGGAATTACGTTGTTAATTGAAGAGAAACCAAACCCTATTTCCCCCACTTAAACACATACTGCACGGAACTAAGTAGTCGAGTATTCATACTGCACGCAACAGGGCAGAATCTGATATTAAAAAAAAAAGCACTTCTCAGTTAATACAACAAGGTAAGACACGTTAGATAGTCACGGGCTGGGGTTCAGGGAGCCCCAAACAATGACTGGAGAGACAAAAACAAAGAAAAGTGCACAAAGGAACGGAGTAAGGGAAAAAAAAAAAGAAAGAACCTACTTGCAGCACCCCAATGCAGAGCGCACTAGATAGTGAGAAAACAAAACATGGTGAGGACAATTGTAAGGAAGTCTAGAAGGGATTGATATGAGAGAAAAGAGGCCAGCTAGCCCGACTATTGGAACGTCAGTACAGATCTGAGACAACCATTCTCGGAGATTCGGCCATATATGGCCAATAAGTCAAAGCAGCAATTCCGCACAGAGACAGAAAAAGATGATATCAGTAGAGATTTAGGGGGAGGTAAGATGGAGTCACCCAAAGAGGAGTGTGAGGGCCAAGACCTACGAGACCCGAGAACGAGTGCAATCCCCCACTGCGATAAGGAGTTCCTTGATCTTCATTGAACGCCGCGTCCAATGGCGGCCGCGTCAACAGCACGGGTAAGTGAGCTCTACACATATCTACGTATACCTTTAGCAATATTGGTTCTAGGAGGGTCAGAGTGGTGTCTATTTGTTCGTGAAGATACAAGGAGTTCAACCGGTACAAATATTCCTATTACGAACGAAAATTTCAAATTTTATGAGCGCAAAACAGTGAGAATCTGTGAAAACAACAACCTTCGGACCACGTTTTTTTTTTTTTAACAGGTATCTTGCAGTCTAAATTAAACCTAATCACTGGAAAAGTAAATTTGTGATATCATCTGCGATATGTGTTTCTGAATTGTGGAAAGCTTTTTTTTTTTTAATGTCTCTGATTATTAAAACTTGGGTCTGCAATATATTTCATATTTACTTTATTCCGAAATGTCTTAGGCCACTGCATAGTTTGCATTAGCAAGGTAGTCAAGCTCATGTACCGCTAGTGAAATCAAGCTTGATGCTGAGCTAACCATCTTTACACTTGAATTAATTGAGGAATCACTTGTGTTTAATTCGAAATTATGAAATGATATACAGGGTTTTTTTTAACAAAAGGTTAAAGGCAAGTTAATATGCATTGTAAAGGTGTTTTTTTTTTTTTAAGACTTGGTATGCCATTTACTGCAGTGAAACTGCCTTTACAGGGGTTACATGTGATTATGACACATCACCTGCATTGCAGTCATCCTCGTACAAAGTGCGGACTTGGCCTAAATAAGATAGACTGGAGCTTGGAATTGTTGCGATAAAAATATAGTTATCAATATGGTAGCCTGCCGAGCTTTCAATTGCAGGGTTCTTATTGATTCCATTTTGCAATATCAAACTTTGATGTGCTTTTGGGAGCAAGAAGTTTTCTAAACTTGGATAGTTACAAGTAAATAAGCCTATTATAATAATTTGGACTAATAACTATAAAGTCAACTGAACACCGATGTTAATCCCCTTGAAGTAAAGTTGTAATAAACATCTATGAACAGTCAATAACTTTAGTCATGTTTAAACATACCGCAGGGGTGCCTGCGCAAGTAGGCGTTTGGTGTGTAGCGACACCACGAACCCGAGCTAACGGGGGAGTTTCGACTACCTCCCACGCCTAGCCGTGCGTGGCTTTGCCGTGTCCGAGGAAAAGGGGATCCTGGGGGTTCAGCCGACGCTGGGTGATTGGACCGTTAAGGCCCCCCAGCAGAGGCAACACACCCCTTTGGCCCAGGCTTCACGTAGACGGCACCCCTGAGCTGACCCACCCAGGGGAATCGGCAGTCGCCTTTTCCTATCTCTCTCTCCCTACATCTTCGTCTTTATCTCTTACTATTTATCTGTCCTGTCTTCTACTCTCTTCCGTTTACTTCCAAACTTCCTGGCGGCTAGGGTTAACCCTGTGCAAATAGCCTACCTTGGTCTAGGCGCATTGGGTTATAGTGGCGTTGTACGGCTGGCGTCTGCAGGTTTCAGCATTTGTAAACTTGTAGCATCCCCTCGTTGGGCTCCGTGGTGGGTGGCCGCCAACGCTGCTGAACAACAATAAGGAAGACATGCATGGAGCATTCCCACTACTGTCTGATCGTACCGGCTTAAAGCCGGTACGCACCGATGATCTCACCAGAGAAGGATTGGCCACCCTGGTGCAGTATCTGGCCACCCCCTCCCGTAGGCATTCGTCAATTAACTCACGGCCCTCAGTCCCCACCAGCTGCGAAGCAACTGACCACGGCGGCGGTCAGATCTGCAAAGCAGCAGAGGGTGCTAGGAATCTCTGGATACGGACAGGCCACCATTGGAACTTGAACTTAGCAACGTTTAACGTTAGAACGTTATCTAGTGAGGGAAGTCTAGCTGTATTATTCGACAAGCTAGAAGGCATTAAATGGGATATAATAGGGCTGAGTGAGGTTAGGAGGACAGATGAGGCCTATACTGTGCTACAGAATGGGCACGTCATTTGCTATCGGGGCTTGGCAGACAGAAGAGAACTGGGAGTAGGGTTCCTAATTCACAGAAACATAGCTGGCAACATAGAGGATTACTATAGCATTGATGAAAGGGTGGTAGGCATTGTAATTAAACTGAATAAAAGATACAAAATGAAGGTAGTACAGGCTTACATCCAGCCATGATGACGCTTCAGTTGAAAGCTTTTATGAAGACGTGGAATCGGCAATGAGTAAGGTGAAAACACAGTATACTATAGTAATGGGCGACTTTAATGCAAAGGTAGGGAAGAAGCAGGCTGGAGACCAGGCAGTAGGAGATTATGGCATCGGCACTAGAAACGCCAGAGGAGAGCTACTAGTAGAATTCGCAGAATGCAATAATTTACGGATTTTTAATACCTTCTACCGAAAACGAGAAAACCGCAAGTGGACATGGAGGAGCCCTAATGGCGTAAATAAGAACGAAATAGACTTTGTAATGACTGCACACCCAGGAGTCGTGCAGGATGTGGAAGTGGTTGGCAAGATAAGATGCAGTGACCATAGAATGGTACGGGCTTGAATCGCCTAGACTTTAAGCAGGAACGACAGAAACTGATACGCAAGAAGCCAATCAATCAGCTAGCACTGAGAGGGAAAGTACAGGAATTCAGAGTGTCGCTGCAGAACAGGTACTCGGCTCTTAGTGAGGAAACCAATCTTAGCGTAGATACAATGAATGATAATCTGACGAGTAT